GGGCATACAGGAAAAAATGAGCCAGAATATAGGCACAAGTTTAAAAAACAAAACCAACATATATATTTTTAACTCTTTATTTTCATATTTTATAATCCTGCATAAATTGCAGTTATTCTGCTTTAACTAGATTTGAAGAATATCTCATTTCTTTAAATAGCTACTGTCTTAAAAATCATCTATGCTAGATGAAAAACCAAAGTTTTCATTACTGGAGAGGCAACCAAGTCTTGCTTCTCTAGCCGGCCTAGCAGTAGAGCAGATGGGTTTGATGGATGGACTATTCGATGGGTAAGGAGTTGGCTGGAAGGCAGCATCCAAAGAGTTGCAGTTAATGGCTCAATATCCAAATGGAGATCAGTAACAACTGGTGTCCCTCAGGGGCCCATATTTGGACCAATACTATTTAATATCTTTATTAATGATATAGTGGGATTGAGTGCACCCTCAAACAAGTTTGCAGATGACACCAAGCTGAGTGGTGCAGTTCATATGCTTGAGGGAAGGGATGCCATCCAGAGGGACCTTGACAGGCTTGAGGAGAAGGTCCACATGAACTGCATGAAGTTCAACAAGGCTGAGTGCAGGGTCCTCCTGCACGTGGGTCAGAGCAATCACCAGCATCAGTACAGGCTCGGGTATGAATGGATTGAGGGCAGCCCTGAGGAGAAGGCCTCGGGAAGGTTGGTAGATGAAAAATTGGACATGAGTTGGCAATGTGCACTTACAGCCCAGAAAGCCATTCGCATCCTGGGCTGCATAAAAAGAAGCATGGCCAGCAGGTTGAAGGAGGTGGTTCTTCCCCCGTGTTCTGCTCTTGTGAGACCCTGCCTGGTTACCACATCCAGTTCTGGGGTCCTCAGCACAAAAAAGGCATGGACCTGTTGGAGCAGGTCCAGAGGAGGGCCACAAAAATGACCAGAGGGCTGGAGCACGTCTCTTATGAAAACAGGCTGAGGGAGTTGGGGTTGTTCAGCCTGGAATAGAGAAGGCTTCAGGGAGACCTTATTGAGGCCTTTCGCTACTTAAAGGAGGCTTATAGGAAAGCTGGAGAGAGACTTTTTACTGGGGCCTGTAGTGATAGGACAAGGGGTAACAGTTTGGAGGTGGTTCTTCCCCCGTGTTCTGCTCTTGTGAGACCCTGCCTGGTTACCACATCCAGTTCTGGGGTCCTCAGCACAAAAAAGGCATGGACCTGTTGGAGCAGGTCCAGAGGAGGGCCACAAAAATGACCAGAGGGCTGGAGCACGTCTCTTATGAAAACAGGCTGAGGGAGTTGGGGTTGTTCAGCCTGGAATAGAGAAGGCTTCAGGGAGACCTTATTGAGGCCTTTCGCTACTTAAAGGAGGCTTATAGGAAAGCTGGAGAGAGACTTTTTACTGGGGCCTGTAGTGATAGGACAAGGGGTAACAGTTTTAAACTAAAAGGGAATAGGTTTAGATTAGATATAAGGAAGAAATTCCTCACTGTGAGGGTGGTGAGGCACTGGAACAGGTTGCCCAGAGAAACTGTGGATGCCCCATCCCTGGAAGTGTTCATGGCCAGGTTGGATGGGGCTTTGAGCAACCTGGTCTAGTGGAAGGTGTCTCCGCCCATGGCAGGGGGATTGGAACTAGATGATCTTTACAGGTCCCTTCTGACCTAAACCATTCTGTGATTCTAAGTGGAAGGGATTCCTGCTTGACTATTAATAAACGTAATGTATGAATTTGCTGAAGATGGAGCGAAGAACATGTGTGCTGTCAGCAGGTATTCAGGAAGATGTTTGTGCATGTTAGGGTATCTGTATTCAGAAAAGCGGTGGTGGGGTTTTGGCCCTCTCATTTGGATTAAACTATGCTGGGAATGTCTATGTTTTATGTAGTTAAATTCTGTTTAATATTAAAAGATTGAGTTAAGAAATTTTAAGAAATTTCACATTTCTTAATTTTGAGAGTGAAACAATATGAATTTTTTCAAAAGCAAAAAGCAAGTGTTGCATTAAATGTTGCAAAATTGCAAGTAGCTGTTGCACACTGGTCCCTCACTTTGTCCCTAGTACAAATGCTGCTGCTTCGGACTTCTGCCATGCACTGACAGACCTAAATCACCAGTTTTCCAAGTGAATGTACTTTTCAAAACAAAATGTATTTATAGGAAATTAAAAGCTTCTTAAAGGTAATTAAGGAAAAATAATTCAGAAGAATGATTTTTTTTTTTTTTTCCTTGGCTTCTTCCAGGTACTAAATTTGGGATTTGTGTTCTCCTTTAAATGGCTGTTAAAACCTGAAACAGGTGTATCCATTGTCCAAAAAGCCTATCTCTACAGAAGTATGTTCTTAATTTTGCTGTTTCTTTTGGTTCACTTTTTTATTTCTCTAGTTTGAATTACTTGTCCTTAAATTTCATACTAAATTTGGCTCTCTGCTACCTGGAATAAAGTAACGGGATGCTAGCAACAAGCCATATTATCCTGTTGGTTTTTGGCATATTCGGATGTGTGGTACTAAGATACCTGCCTGCATGCAGCTGATGCTTCAGAATCAGTTGTGTGCAACTCTTCCATGTTTCCCAGCACTGTGTTGTAGCTTTCTTGATGCTTTGAACCGCGCCATCCCCTTTTTTTTCCTGATCATTTGAAAGCTGATGGACTGGTCAGGTGTGGTCCCAGCATATCTGCGTGAGTCAGCAGTTCTGCCTCCTCATAGCTGTGTATGTCATAGGTGAAAGAGCTGCTGTTCCTGTCTCTGCTGCGACTGTTCTCGGATTGGCAAGGTGGCTTCTTGAATCTCAGCTGATTTCACGTTGGCTCACGTATCTGTGAATTGCTTTTACTAGTGTTTTGGGCTTTCAGAGTGCTGACCAGGAATACCCAAACTGACTCTGCTAAGGCTTTGCCTGAATGTAAGCAAAATGTTTCTGGTGCTGTAGTGGCCCCAGAAGTAGTTGAGCTGTAGTTGCATGTCATTTAGGCACGCTGGTAGCCAGGATGAGTGACCCACAGTCTGGTAAATCACCTGTGAGTAACTGAAAGTTGAGCACTGAACTATAAGTATAAAAGAGAAGAAACTGATTGGAGACTTTTGATTTTCTGCCTCTTTTTCTCCCTTTCTGCTGTGGTGGTGAAGAGCATTTATGTATTTGAATTCTAGAAGCACATTGCTTTTTGTTGTATAAGAAGCACGTAAGTAATTCAGAATATTTTGCAACAGCAATTAGCATTAGCATTAGTGAGAAGTAGTAACAGTTGTTTTAAAAGTGGATGGCTAGCTGTAAACTGGTTATAATTTTGCTGTTTTAATGAAAATCCTTTCAAGCCGAGAAGACCGATGCTTATACTTGGACAAACCGATTTTTTTTCAGTTTGTCTTTTGACAGCTATGCGAAGTTTTAGTTAAAACTGGTTTTGACAGGAAAGGATAGAAAAAAGCATCTTGTGTTTGCAGGGAGAAGAAATCCTTGTCTCTTGGAAACTCAAATACAACTGAAGAATATCTATATGTTAGCTTCAGAGCAATAAATTATTGTAAGCAACTTGGGGAGCATGACCTGTATTTAAGATTGTCTAATCCCTTCCACTGTGTGTTCCTGTTTACTGTTGCATTTTACTTTGTTAAATGTAAACAATTCTGAATTATGTTTTCTGAGCTAGCAGTTTGAAAGTTGAATGAATTTTAGGAAGTTAAGGATATTCTTAGTATCTTTATGGATATTAATTTAGTTCAATATATTGCATTGCTCAGGGTATGTAGTAGGAGAGGGGTCTTTTGGCCTTGTTTCTGTTTCAATGACTGTTTTATGGAAAAGCTCCAATTCTTCCTGTCTTTAGGAAGGAAATAAAAAGTTGTCTATTGATGGTCATTCCCATTATCAGGGCTCTATTTTTGAGCTAATGTGCTTCTAAACTTGTGTTGTAAACAAAAGTACAATGTAAGTTAAGTCAAGAGTATCCTTAAAACTGGTTTGGCATTTTATATCTGGTCTTTTCATGTATGAAAGCAGCAAAAACTAGACAGTCCCTTGTCTGTTAACACCCAGGGTTGAAGGAGAAAAGAGCAGCATTTTGTTCAAAGCCATATATTGTGAATAATCAGAGGTTTTCAGAGCAAGTAAATAGCCTTGGATGAAGGAGTCAACTCAGTGTGAAGGAAGGAGTTTTTTCCAATTACCACTTATCAGTCATAGCTATGAAGTTAGTTAATGTACAGTTCTCACTGTGTAGCAAACTTCTGATGAATATCTGTCATGCTGGATTGCTTCTGCTAGGATATATGTACAAGTAAAAATAATAGAGTTATTACTGCACACTGGGAGAAGAGTGCTGCAAAACTCTGTTACTTGTGTACTGTGGCTGTTTTGGTGGTTAGATATTAATGAAGTTACAAAGCTGTGTTAAAATTGGGAACCCAGCTGGATTTTTGCTTAAGCATTTGTAATACTTCTGATATATTATTTCTCTGAGTTAACGCACTGAATGGAGGAAGTCTATTCTTTTTCCAAATATGCTGTTTTAAGTGGCAACAGTGCTACATGCTCTTTCTCACTGGGCTGGATTTTTTTCCTTAATGGAAAATAAAAAGATTTGACTCAGCAGGCGTATGATGATGAACATAGAAAGTATGTGGTTAAGCATCTGTTATTTTTCCATAAAAGTAGTCAAGCATATTCAATTTTTTTTCCCTAGAAAGAAACACTTAATGAGAGCCACTGTATTTACGTATTGTGTGTATTTCCTTTGTAACTTCACCTGCAGATGTCTGCTGTATTTAGTGCTTGTAAAACTAGGTATATAGTGACCATTGCAAAGAAAAAACTGTTATCTTTTAAGCATTTTGGATCTTACATTATATTTTATTGGGCCTTTATATTTTTTCTCAAATGAGGATGCCTTTTCTGGTGTAACATATACATAAAATCTGATGAAAATTAGAGTGGCATTTTTTGTGGAAAAATAATGTATTTTTAAGTACTGCTTAAAACGGCAGAATATATTTCTGATTTTTTTTTTTTTTTGGCAGTTGTACTCACTAAATGATTATAAGCCACCCATTTCTAAAGCTAAAATGACACAGATCACCAAGGCAGCAATCAAGGCTATAAAGGTAAGAAATTGGCTTACTTCTTTTGACTTCCTTTCCATTTTTCATCTGTGTCAAAATAACTGAATAGCTTAAAGAACTTCCTGCAGAACTTTTCCACCTCCCTTGTTCTGTGTACAATTTGCAAGTTATGATCAAATGTGATAGTGATGGGATTTTCAGGAGTGCAACAGAAGGCTTAATTTACTGTGTTGCTTTTGTTTGCTGGGTGTCATATGTGAGAAGGAATTATACCAACTTGACTCTGCAATCAGATCTGAAAGACAGGGTTTTTTTTCCTCAGTTTAAAAAGGAAACACTAACATTGCCTGAGAACAGATGAATAAATATAAAACTACAATGCCCCCCACCCTCCCCACATGAAAATATAAGATATGTGTGCCTTTGGATCAATACAATTGTTTAAGTTTTATTTCATTTTTATAAATGCCAAACATACCTTTTCATGGGGGGTTGTTAATAGAATTTATTTTTGATGTTGCTTGCCAAACAGCAGTGGAGCAGCAGCAAACAGCACTGAAAAGTGATGAAGGAAAGAAGTATGCCATTAGTGTTAAGCATTAAAACAAATGGAAGCTCAGTGAAATCTGGAGAGGTGAAAAATTTTGAGGATAGGATAAAAGCTAAAAAGCCGTGAACTTACGCTCTTCGTATCTACATTCCTCTGCTGAGAATGCAGACGCATTTTCAGATAATGAAATCCACATTGGGATTTTGTGTAATTCGGAGAGAGAGCAATTTGATGACAGAAGAGTGAAATTCACTGTCCTTAGATACGAGAAGTCTGTGTAAATTAGAGTCTATATGTTGCAGTATAATGAAAATGCTAAAAACTTGTATTGAACATAAGTAGTAAATGATAGTAAATGGTTCTATAAATTAAACAATTAAATGTTACCAAAATGTTGTATCATGTATTTAACTTGGAAATCCTGCTTCCACTCTTACCATTTCAATAACAACATTTAATTGTGTAGAGCAGTTATTGAGATGATGTAGAGCCATTGTGGTATGAGCGATTTAAAAAAACCTAAACAGGTCAATTTTAAAGTAAAAGTATTCAGTAGATGTTATAGGGTCTTCCTATACTCATGTTTTTAGGTTATTAAAGTGAACACTTGAAAAATAAATGAAATAAAGAGAAGTGCTATGCTTAGTAACATTAGGCTAACATCTTCAGTCATATACAATGAAATAACAGTATGTTTTTGAAGGAACAATTATATTATTCTCTTAGTTCTCACTAAATAAGTGCATGCTATTTAAAAAAATCTAGTGGGGAAAAAAAACCTTCAGAAGGCAAGAAAAACTGAGATTAGCTTTTTTTATATGCTGTTAAATGTTCTAAGGAAGACAGCATACTGAGCTGTGAGTACTGGGTTGCTGGTTAATCAACCAAAGTTTCTAATTCTGGTTTTACTATGTAATATTGCAAGATTTGAACAAGTATATGAATCTTCAGATTTTCTCCTCTATTGAAATATTATTTTATTTTCCAGTTCTACAAGCACGTTGTACAGAGTGTTGAGAAATTCATTCAAAAGGTAAGTCAGTCATGGGTATTTTGTGTTAGCACTGAGAAAAATTTCCTCATTTCGGATTACAGAGTATTGAAGACGGTCAGGTTTTAAGTACATATACGGATTAATATTTTTATCACACATTAGTTTATTTCAGTTTTTAGTCACATTCAGTTTCTGCTAGTAATCAGTAGCTGATCATAACCTGTGATGCAGAAAGACAAATACTTTTCCCCCATTTCGTAGTTATGATATACTTTGATCTGAATGACTGTGGATACTCTTAGGACTACTGCTCTGTATGTATTCATTTAATGTTAAAAGAGGCTGTCAGTGTAGCCCATGTGAACAGCTAACGGCAAAAGAACTGACAGTGGTTTGGCAAGTGACAGTTGCTTTTGCTTTTCTGCCGTTTTCCCATAGATTCTAAAGCTGAAGGGAAGATGACCATTTACCCTCATCTTTTGTGTAGCATAAGATGTAGCATTTCAGTTGGTGGTTCCTGCTAGTAATTTAAAACAAAAAAAATTTATATGGCTAGACTGGAATTACTTTTTGGAAAGATGCAGTATTAATTTAAAGATTCTGAATAACAAAGAATTTTATTGCATTTTGTTTTCTTGCAACAGTTAATTATTCTTGGGTAAAACTGCATTTTATCTCCAGTTGGAAATGCATGGATTCCCATTTGTGAGTCTTTCCTCTTTGTCTGCATCATACTTGATTGTTCAGTTGATCATTTTGGTACTGAATTTCTTCTCCTTTTGTAAATAGGAGTAAATTATGATCAAATTGCCTTTTTATTTTGACAAGCTACAGAAGTTAGTCTGTTAATGTTGCAATGTCGGATGCAATTTTTCTTCTGTTGTCCATTTTATGAAGCAGTCTAGATTGCTGTGTGTCAGTAACCTGTCTTCCTCGTTACCTTTTATTCCTTGGTGCCCAGTGTATGCTGCAGTGCCTTTTGGCAGTGGTTGGACAGTGTAAATGGGGTTCAGCTTCAGCCTGGTGTTTTTAACTGTCTCAGAACAGTTCATTAATGAATTATTTAGGTACTTAGAACATCAGTCCTTTGTGGAAAAGGTGTCATATGCATGGTTCATGGCTGTAGTAAAGATTAGTAGTATACTTTACCATCACTGCTAGTGTTTTGTCAAGCAGTTGTCTTTTGGGACATTGCCTCTGACTTCTTTCTACCTCAAAGAAAAAGGATCAGTAGCCTCTGATCCCTGCTTAATACTACAGGTGGACATAGGAGGATGAGAGCATCTTGCCCATCTCTGATCAGTAGCACTTCACAGTTTCATGTCCCGAAATTAATCCTGAATTGCCCAAGTTCCAAATACTGCTCTTTAATTGCAGTGGCTGTGGTTGGCAATTCTGTATTCAGAGGCATGAGAGAAGATTTATCCTCTGAATGCAAGAGTGGTAGTTGGTCAGGAATTGGACTGGTTGTTTGTCACCTTTCCACAAGCTGCTAAGAGTATGGGTTATCTTTGCACATCTGTGTTCTGTATCCAGTACTGCTTGATAAGGGAGTTCTGCATTGTTCATTGCTGGTTAGAGAAGGCAATGTATGTTGTTATTGATAACCTTGTCAATGATCGCTCTGGATTAGGTGTTTCCCTTTGGTGGGCTTGATGTGTTTTTTTCAGTATTTCATGAATGATTTAGTGAATCATGCAAATTATTAATAACATCAAATAGTAAGTTCTTATTTTAGTAGAATGGGAGATAAGCAGATGAAAGCTCTTTTCTAGCCATTTGATATTTATGGACTTAAGTTGTATGTTTGGAAAATAATTGGATTATTTTCCTGGAAGCAATCACTTCAAGTTAAAGCTCAAAAATGCTGAATCTTCCATTAAAATCTGCCATGGACTTGTCCAGAGTGATGTCAGTGCCATCTCAATTAGTTTAGTGTTGATTCTTTTCTACTCCAATATTTTCTTTCTTCAAAATTACTGAAACTTCAGGTGAAATTACTGAAACTTCAGGTGAAATAGTTGTCCATGACATTGTGTTTTGTGACACTTAACTCACAGGTCCCTTGTTGTTCTGGTTGACTGTTTTATTCTCTGGCAAAAATCACTCCAGAGGTCAAATGGTCAGATTCTATATATGTAAGGATATTCCACTGTGAGAGCAGGACTTGAATAATTTCTTTGAGGCAGGCTCACTGCCCCAGCTGTCATTCTTCTTTATTTAATTTTTTTATTTCTATTTTATTGTCTTTTCCCTCGTTATCATCTCTATTATTATATTCATTATAATATTTTCTTGCTTTCTCTATGTGCTGTGTTTTTAAATACTCCACCTAGCATATTTGCTGAGTTTTCTTATTAAATATCTGTGTTTTTTATTAATTTCAATATTGTGAAAAGTCATATACCTGTCTGTTCTGTATGCGGAATACTCTCATTTTTGGTAATAATGTAGTTAACATTTGAGTAGCTACAATGCATTGAAGTGATTCTTTGAAGACAGTGTGTTATATGCAATTAGATTTTAATTTCATAGTTTTAATAATGCACAATTATTCTTAAAAGGATGCCACACACGTTCTTAAAAATAAAGAATGCCATACTTAGACACTGGACCATGTTTAGAGCCTAAATAAATGCTTTCTCGAGGTTGCAAATGTTAGCAAATCAACACTTTTCAAAACAGGAAGTTTGTATCTAGGGTATGATAAAATTAGTAGTCTGAAGAGTTTGTTTGGCACTGTATTAGAGATGATGAATTTGGTGTGTTACATAGTATGTTTATAGACTGTCTGGACGAGAGAGGGAATGGGTGTACTTTCCCATATTTTCCATGGTACCTTGTGTGATAAGTGTGTACAACCAATATTCATGAAGTGAATCCATGTCATAGTATATTCCGGTGATGACTTCATTATATTTTTGTACCAATTTTCATTCTGTCTTAAAACTGGGCGCACTAGTCAGGTGCAATTACTTTTGTAATTAAAAGGCAAAAAATTTAGCTTTAATTGTTAAGTAAGTAAAATTACCTAAGTAATTAGTATTGTAGTTAGCAGACATGCTTTATAAATACAGTGCTGTTTGTAAATTATGCAAGTTTTCCACAGTTTTAAAATAGGTATCACTGGTATATTCTCAACCAAACAGATGTCCACATAAATACGTTCTCGTTCTGGTGGGAGCAGGATATACCACACACTACTTACAACAATGTAAAATAAAGTAAACAAATGTTAACTTCAATGTTGACTTTGATCATAAAGAAGGAAAAATATAATTATATTTACAGCTAGTCCCAAGGTACTGTTAAGAATTTGGTCATGCTTTATGCTCTTCTCTTAAAATAGGTACGTGCACTTGAAAAGGATATGTGGTTCATGTGCTAATTTTTAATAGCTATATTCTAAAAAGTTTTTTTTAGTGGTGATAAATTGATTTTAAACCATTTACATATTTGCAGTATACATATCGATGGGATAATTCAAACATTAACGTTTAGCTATTTTTGAGAGAGTTTCCTTTTTCAGGACAATTTGTTAAATAGCGAACATTTTGGTAATACTTTGACCCATTTAAAAACTAGAGAGGACTGTTTGTATTTACTCTGCTATTAATGTTTTTTTTGTTTTTTTCACGTATGCACATTTTAAATTATTATTCTTTGTAGTGCAAACCAGAATACAAGGTACCTGGTCTGTATGTCATTGACTCTATTGTAAGACAGTCCCGGCATCAGTTTGGGCAAGAAAAGGATGTATTTGCTCCAAGATTCAGCAATAACATCATCAGCACTTTCCAGAACTTGTACCGTTGTCCTGGGGATGACAAGGTAAACCACTTATTACAGGTTTTTTTCTAATTAAAACAATCTTTAGTATGTTATCTATAAAGAATAAAGATTTTGATCTCAATTCTTGCTTGCTAGAGTGGATCTAATTACAGACTTACACATTTATATGTATTTCTTTTAATTTTGCTTGTTTGAGTGTAGGGATAGGGGAAGACGCATCCAGTTAAATGAATTAAAATTTTGAAAAGGGTTTCAGGAAGGCTGGATGGATTTGAGTTAATGTATTTTGATGGGGAAAAATTAAGCGGGCATTTGGTGGGACAGGGAGTTGTAGTCAGTGTTTTATTGTCTTCTTCCCCTCTTCAGTGAGAAAATGAAGGTTTTGTATAGTGTCAAGGAATAAATAATCTTTCTTGGTAGCAGTAACTTCAGTGCACACTAGTGTGTTTTGGACTGAAGGAGCAATAGAAGAATGGCAAAGTATCTTAAAAGTTCCTTTTCCTTTGATACCGAATCAACCAACAGCTAAATAAGGCCTAACTTGAACAGTTTGACCCAGTAGTTCAGCTGTTCCCATGGACCATACTAGTCAAGATCGCTACCAAATTATCTTTATAATAGGTTGGCTGGGAATAGCGGAGGGTGCAGGCAGTTTAATTTCCTTCATACTTGTCACTGATCTTACAAAAACTAGAGTTTCCTATTACTAAATTGAAAAATTACAAAAAGATGTGAAATGCTAAGGGCTTTATCTCCACATGAATTTGTGTAATGGAGTCATTAAGTCAAGTACTAAGTGAGGCAGGACACCGCAGGAAGAGCAAGACAGGTTATTCTTTGAATAGTCGCATGCCATCCTACAGCTTTTCCACCAAAGATCTGAAAACCCAAGGCATCCATGGAAGGGTGATTAAGGCAAGTTCAGCCATTGCGTGTCTCCTGCGGTTGTCTTAGGGTTCTTGCCTTTTTAGAGGAGTTAGGACCGCTGTAGGAAAATATGTCGGGCTCTGCAAATTTTAAGTGGTTGGAAAACTCTACTATGGGTGTCTGTCTTCTCTTCTGCAGCTGAGTTCTGAGCTGCTGCTGAACAGGTTATTTAAGTTAAATGGCATTTTTCCAGTGTGGATTTAGGTTATCTGCATGATCAACTTGTGCTGCTTCAGAGTGTTTTACATATATATAGGCATGATAGTTAACATTTTTCTTCATTTAGCTGTATTCCTTAAGCAGTATTAGTTCTTTTGTATAATCATTTAGCTTACTACTCTGTGAAATATATTAACATGGCAATAGTCTGACTTGTTGAAGAAGGAGAGCTGGCACAAGGATAGGCGCAAGCACTCAGTTTGTGCCTGGCTTTAAAAAAAGATAGTAAATTTATTGTGGGGTAAGAAATAGTGCCACTTATTCTGTGATATTTCAATGCATGGCAACTAATATGTCACATTAGAGGTGTCTGATGATGTTGTGGTTTAACCCCAGCTGGCAACTCAGCATCACACAGCCGCTCACTCACCCTGCCTGCAGTGGGATGGGGAAGAGAGTCAGAAGAGTAAAAGTGAGAAAACTCGTGGGTTGGGATAAAGACAGTTAAATAGGTAAAAGCCGCACACGCAAGCAAAGCAAAACAAGGAATTCATTCACTGCTTCCCATCGGCAGGCAGGTGTTCAGCCATCCCCAGGAAAGCAGGGCTCCATCACGCCTAACGGTTACTTGGAAGACAAACACCATCACTCAGAATGTTCCCCCTTCCTTCTTCTTCCCGCAGCTTTATACGCTGAGCATGACGTCATATGGTGTGGAACAGCCCTTTTGGTCAGTTGGGGTCAGCTGTCCAGGCTGTGTCCCCTCCCAACTTCTTGTGCCCCCCCCAGCCTACTCGCTGGTGGGGTGGGGTGAGAAGCAGAATAGGCCTTGACTCTGTTTAAGCACTGCTCAGCAGTAGCGAAAACATCCCTGTATTATTAACACTGTTCCAGCACAAACCCAAACCACAGCCCCATACTAGCTCCTATGAAGAAAATTAACTCTATCCCAGCCAAAACCAGCACAGATGTGAAGAGGGATAGTAAAACATAGTCTGTTTATGGTCTATAAAGCTTCTATCATGTTCATTTCTAGGATATTTTTCACCTCAGTTAGGGAAAATGTATTTTGCAGTCTGAAGTCTTTCTGCTGTGTTGCGTATGGATTCAGTATTATAGGAAAGTCTGTACTGTGAAAGTAGTTACCATATATCTGACCAGCAAAAAATTGTGCTGTCAAAGATACGAAGGTTATGTACCTGTTTTTTGGCATTTTGATGTTTAGTCTGACTAAAAGGCATAATGGAGAAACACAACAATTTGTTTGTTTTTTTTAAAAATCAAGCAGAAGTATAGTAGCATTTCATTTAAAGTAGCAAAAAAACCCCCACTGAGTCCTTCATCTGGCTCAGCCATGGAAAATGCAAGGGGGAGATAGATACTGAGGTGCAGAAATAGTTTTCTACTCCTGTTCTGTATAGAAGAGGGAAGTTAGAGCCTCTGATGGAGGTGTCGGGGATTGCCTTTCAAAACAAACTTTCTAAGGAAAAAGGCTTGCATGCTGTAATGCTGAATGGAAGCCTTCAGAGATTTCTCTAAAGGAACACTAAATTACATCTTCCATGCAGTGAAAATTCAGCACTTCTCTCTATTAAATTTAAGTATCCTTTTGGAATTCTGGGCAAACAGACTTTTTTTTTTTCCTTTGGTTTGAACACTGTGTGGTTAAGTACTCTATGTTCACGTGTTATAGAATTTAAATAATTAAACCTTCTTTGTGACAGCAAACACAAGATCCTATGAAAAACTTTCTGTTCTTTATAATACAACTAACTGCCCCCCACCCCCGCCAAATAAGTAAGGTTACATACGTTACTATCCAACTTTTCAAGATCAAGCAAAATCTTGCTTCTGGGTAGAAGTGAAGCTTAGAAAAGAAAATATTTGGGAGCAGATTAGAACAGTGGAATAGAGATGTACTTGGAAGCTGAACAATGAGTTACATGTGATGGAATTGTATGAAGTCTTAATTTTGGTTTTTTTCTTCCCCGTATTCCACATTTTTAATATTACTATGTAATTTCAATAGGCAGGGAATTGTATTCCAGTTTAAATTCTTCACTTCATCAAGAGAGGTTGCAAAATATTGAGCTACTTTCCTAATAAAAGTAGTTAGCAGTCTTATTAGTATATGCCCATTTTTCAGTGGACATAAGTAATTTTGGTTCATAGGTAGGTCAGAATTGCATTCATATATGTTGACTATAAAAGTTTGGGAGACTAATAAGTCCTTACTTTAATTATTAGTAATGCTTTCAAATGTTCCCTTAAAATAGTTCTCCTTCCATACTCTCTTCCAAGACTAAAGGCATAAAAGTGTCAGATACATTTGTTTTGGTTTGGTTTACTATATTTCGTTTTCTGTTGAGAGAAGACTGTCAGTATGTGCATAGTGTGTCTTTACTGTTGCCCAGGCATCTTATATAGGTCAGCTTCAGGTTCATAGGTTAGGCATCTTTGGTGTGACACCCAGTGTAACTGTTCTTACGGTTCTTACTGTTTGTAAACCTAAAGGTGCTTCAATCTAGACAGATTGACATTGCTTGTTAAGAATTCCATAATTGAAAATAACAAGAAATTACTCAGGCCTTTTGTTATCCTTTCTTCATTTTAGAGTAAAATTGTTAGAGTGCTAAATTTGTGGCAGAAGAATAATGTGTTCAAGAGTGAAATTATTCAGCCTCTCTTGGATATGGCAGGGGGGGAATGTGACTCCTGTCTTGCCCAGTACTACAGCTGCTATGAGCAACAATACACCAGGTAAACAAAAACATGTTAAAATCATACTTTGAATCAAAACACTTGTGTCAGCTTTGGTATGTTGGCTGTTAACATGCTGAAAAATCTCACTGGTTTCACTTTATTTCACAAATAAATGAATGCTAGAAGGAAATATATTATAGCCAGCATCCAGGTCAGGGAAATAGCAAAACCAAGAGGCAACCTGTTGTGTTTACTTTCCAACTGTATATTATAAATATATTTAGATTGAGTAACAGTGCAATAAGACCTAGTTTGGCACTCGGAAGTCAGAACAGTAGATCACTGACAGAGTTAAAAACCCAACACAGCAGTTAATGCAATCTTTGTTAATTAGTGGTGCCACAGTTGAGAGAAACGATACATCAGTATCTTTTTGCTATCCATAGGATTGAGCTTGCTGGATCATGTCAGACAGTGGTCCTTTACTTTTGCTGGCTGACAGCCAATGATTTCGAGGGGAAAAAGCCATATTGACAGTATAAGCTGCAGCCAGTGACATACTTCCTTCTCCCTCAAACCTGAAGTATGTGGGCCAGAAATCATGATGGAGAATCATGTGGGCAAAAAGCTGCCAAGTTAACAAACGCTAACGTTATTATACATGCAGGCTTCATCATTTTGTACTCTAAAGCATCTTCCTTGCTTATGTAGGTAGATGGTGGGGAACTGGCTTTTCAATTTTTTTCATTTTGTGGAGATTATATTGTTAAAGAATGGGATATATGGGAAATTTTACATATAGAAATTGGGTTTTGGCACATAGGGGCCTGCTTTTGTCACCCACCTTTTGCTGATCCCATGCTGAAGAGCAGTGAGGTGGACAAATCCACCTTATTTTTCATTGGTGTCTGTAAACGTGTAAAAGTTCCAGCTCTTGAATTGGACTTACTGCATCTTCTAGCTCAATATTTTTTATTTTCATTAGTTTGATTACTTTAAATTGTGGAAATCATAACTTTAAAGCTTTTTTGAATTCTGATGCAAATTGTCTTTTAAAACAGTAATCTAGTCATTTACATTTAATGTTCATCATCATATCTCTACTTCTGATCTAAAAGTAGGAGTATTTTCAGGGTTGGAGGATTATTCTGGATTATAGCATGAAACTAATTATCGGATTGCTGATTTAGTCTCAGTGTTCCTCTTGAAAAAAATGGTAAAACAGGCAATCCTCATGAATCCAGCTGCTGCAGGTTGAAATTTTTAGTAGAATCCTTAAGGCTGCTCCTGGGGATTAACTGCAAGTCCAGTAAGTTCTGGACTAGCAGACGTTTCTGAGTAGATTGCTAATAATTGTCATTTGGTATATATTGTTTCCACTAAGTGGTTTGGATTACTGTGTGAAACCTATTTATTTTGCATTTGTCAGTGTTTTTGTTAGTAGTTCCCATAGGTCAATAGTGGACAGAGCTGTGAACTACACTTACACAAAGTAATCCTGCTACTTGAGGAATGCTGATGTGAGTCTGTGTTATTTTTGTGTGCTCTATGTGTGTGTCAGAAAAATAGTTTAAATTGATGTTAATGGAGTGCTTTCTCAGTATTTAATAATTGGGTTTGATGCCCTAGGAAGATTATAGTATCTTTATAATTTGATTTCTTGTAATCCAGAAGTTTTTGCTGTAGAAAATAAACAGGAATGTTTGTCTGGTTTATAATTTCTTTTTACAGCAGGTTTTTTTTTTTTCCTTCTCTAACACTATTTCTAAGTCTGTATGTTAAAATATTTTGGCATATTGGATTTTCTCTTTTTTAGGAACACCTGTGACTCCAGTTACTCCAGCCAATGTGGTGCAGAGTTTACCTGATCCTTGGGTATCTCAGATTGCTAATACAGATACCCTTGCTGCTGTTGCACAGATTTTACAGAGTCCTCAAGGCCAACAGGTAAATATTTTGTAGACAGTTACACTGTACACTGTTTGATACTTTGTGTCTTTAAGGTACACTTAAGGAATACTGCTTTCGTGAGTATCTCTTAGTTTTGTGTCTGGTGTTCATGTTAACTATCCCATGAGGTTATTCATCACAAGTAAGTTCCAGGTAAACTAAAACTTCCTGCTACCTTTTGTAACCAGCCTTCTTTGTTCCTTAAAAGTATTGCAGAATGTGACTTCAGATAAGATGGTCTGTAATACATATGTTTCCTATATAGTATTGCAGATGACTAAATCAAGACCAGCATTAAGATTTCACGGATATAGGTATAAAAGAGAATGCCAGTTTAAGCATATTTCTCTGCTGGATGCCCCAAGAAGCTAAACACTGTACAGAATTATGTAATGGGAGTGTACACATTCTGGAAGTGCATTGTGTGTTGATTCTTTTCTTTGTCTTTCCATCAGCTAAATAGTTTTTATTTTGCAGCATTTAAAAATAAGGTCTTAGAAGTGGCCGTGTTCCTCGGTTTCTAAATGCTAAACTCCAAAAAAAGTGGCTTGATATGCAGCATGCATTGAACTGCTTGTCCTCTTAACCTGCAGCCACATAAGTTGAGTGCACACAATCGGCTTTCTGTACATTGTTTTTCAGTTTATGCTAGAACTCTGGCACCAACATAACTTTGGCATTATGATTTTTACTTGGGCTGAGGAATAGGATGCTTTACCTGCTGGGGTACTAAACAAAAATCCCATGCATATGAATGAGAAGCAGTCACCAGTGAGCTGTTACGAAGCACTGGTGCTGACAATAACAACAACTTTACTTAGTGAGATTGTTTTACAGTGTTCAGCTAAGCAGAATTATCTGTAATTGTTCATAAGTCAAGCAAAGGGAGTATTTTTATCTGATTACACTGAAAGAAATTGATGGGTCATTGAAAAGCATAACAAAATGAGTTTGTGGAATACTTTGCGAAATGTGGAGGAAACAGTGCAATAGTTCTTAAATAAGGAAGGGATGTGAAGTGAGAATGGTAAATATATGGAAAGTCAGTAAGGTAATTTTAAAGATTATTACCTAGAGTGTATTCTTAAAAAAAAAGGAAAAAAAAAAAAAAGGACAAAGCAAAAGAAAAAGATTATGAAGATGAGAAGGGAATTAGAGTTTCAAAGACGACAGCAAATCACGAAGGAATAACATTTGGATATTTAGCTCAAAATGGTAAAATGATTAAGAGAATGGATTTGGGGAGAGGGAAAAGATGGAAGATAGTCTTCAGCAGAAATGTGGAGACAGACTGGGTACGCAATAAATCTGTACATGCAGATCTTTAGGATTGGTAGATGAACTGCAACATTTTCTTCCATCCCATCCACGTCTTTTCTTCCTGTTCTCCAAGCCACTCCACTCCACCCCACCCCCCCACCCCAGTTCCAAAGTCCTTGATTTTATCTTGAGATTATGTTTTATGGGTGAGAATGCATGCAGGTAAATTGAGAGTCTAGACATAGGAGAGGGCAGAGTAAGAAAGATGTAACCAACAAGAATGTGAAAACAGCTAGAATGGTGACCACCCAGGATTTTCCCACTCTAGAGCTTCCATCTCTGCTTCTTCAGTTTGATTCCTTCCTACTCAGAGCAACGCATAAGGTGGCCCAGCCATATTTGCACGTCTTTTGTGTATCAGCCGAGAAGGGAGGGGGCAGCTCTTCAGCTTTGCCTATTGCAGTAATTAGTGAAAGCTCTTGGTGAGGTAGAACAACAATTGAAGCATTTTCAGAGGCTCTGCTGTATAAGGAGTCTGTATAACTGTTTTTAAAGAATAGGAAGAGTTGTTTCACGTTATCAGAAGGTAACTCTAAAACAATCTTGAAAAAAGATCATACATTTTTGATCCCTTGTGGAAAAGAAGATCAACCTAATCAGCTTATGCAGAGTTTCTAGTGAACCCTAGTAAGAAGGGAGGGATTGACTCCTGTAAGAGTTCAGTGGTGAACCCCATGAGGAGGTGGAATATAAACGTTAAGATAATTAGGGACTTAGGTCCACAAAGTTTGAACTACCTGGATTTCCTCAACCTTTTTTCCAGGTAAGGCCCCAGGGGTTTACCTCATGGAAGGTCAAAGGACTGCTTCTTCTAATTCCATGGTACTTTAGGAGGGCTTCTTTCCATAGGGATAGTATTTTTTCTTTTTGTGTTAAGGTAAATCTGTACAATTTTATGGGAGCATCTCTATTCAACAGATGAATAGATCTGCACATGAAAAAGCCTTTTATTTCCTCGCTGGGCAGCTCCTTTTAAAAAATTATATACAAATAGGAAGTCAGAGTAAGGAAATCAAGATATGCCAGGTGATTGGATTGTACATTTGTTCTAAAAAACTGGGGAAGATATTCTGTTTTTCTTTATTTTCCCTCTCTAGTTATGAAGAAAGAAACTCTTAGGGTATCCCGATATACTCTGATGAAATGTCTTAGGTCCATTAACTACACTTTTGAAAGTTCCTTCTTTGACAATATTTAGTACTCATTCCAGTATAATCCTAGACCTCTCCTGGGTTGCAAGTGGAGTTGTTTAAACAAACAAACAAACCACCCCAACCACCACCCCACCCCCCAAAACTACTTTAAAATAATATTTTAAACACCCAACACTATTTTTAAATAAACATCTGTCTTTTGGCATTACCCATACTTTGTTTTTACTGTAACATACTTTGTTGTTACTGTACATCTGTTGCCCCAGAGCTGCTGCTTCTGGTTCAACATTGCATCTAGGCAATTTTTATCCTAAGATAGTGCTATACAGAGCCCAGAGTCTGTGCCATTGCAGGAAGTCAAATTATATTCCTAGTTCCTGGTTAATTTGCTTTTTATGTTTTGTTAACATAGCAAGGGAATTGCATTCTATCAGTGCAAACCTGAGTTTCAGCATGAGATTTCCCTTGTGACTAATCCAGAGACACTAGTGCAAGCTCTTCGTATAGACATGTTGCATCAGCTTAAAGTGGAGTTTGCAACAGTGCAGTTATTTTCTCTACAGGAATGTTGTTACAGCATACAGATTTTCCTAATATAGGTGGGCCCTTAGGGAGCTGGAGTAGGCTAACAGATTTTTTTCAGGTCAGAAGGAATCAAACTGGAGAAACAGAAGAGGGGGAACCCTAGAAAGCAGGAAATCCTGAGTGGTGACTGGTCATCATGCAACCTGTCAAAGCAAGTTAGGAGGAAGAAGCATCTGCATGTCTTATCAGCCACAGAAAACAAATTAGCCAGTAAGTGGGAACAAAATTTGCCGTAAATGAAAACAAATTAAGATGAAATAATAGCCATAGGTTAGATGATACTGCATTCCTGAGGGTTTTTTTTCCTAATTGGAAAGGGAAAAGACTAGTTTGGTTTTTGTTTTTTGCTTTTTAAAAAGAATTTCATGTTTAATGCATTTGTTATCTTTTCTCTTTTAGCTTCAGCAGTTGATACAGACACTGCAGATACAGCAGCAGAAACCTCAGCCTTCACTACTTCAAGCCCTGGATGCTGGTCTTGTCGTTCAGTTGCAGGCCCTCACAGCACAACTTACAGCTGCAGCTGCTGCTGCTAACACACTTAATCCACTGGAACAGAGTGTCTCTTTTAATAAGGTAGAAGTAGAATAATAGAAGTTTGAAGAAATATTTATTGTTAAAATATATGCCAGTGAAAGAGTCTTCTTTTGGATTTTACGGTTTGACTTTAGAGATTTTAAAAACACATGAATAGACTATAAAGTGCTCTGTCTTGAAAATTTAAAAAAAATGTCTAGAGAGAGTAGTACAAATGAAAATATTGATTTTATATGAGTTCAGGGCTAAATGGCATTTCATAGAATATCTCAAGTTGGAGGGGACCCATAAGGGTCATCGAGTATGAAGATGGATTTGATTTAGCAGAGTTAAGCCATTGTTATATGTTTTTTCTTCACCCTCTGTAACACAGTGGTGAGAATTGAGCATGTCTTGTATTTCCCCTTCCTGTGTTTATGATCTAAGGTAGGAAATGACTTCTTACAAGGTAATGCAAGGGAAATATGCAGAAATTTATGTACACTGTTTTCCCAGAAGAGTAAAATGTGATTGGACTTGTAATTTTCTTACATTATAAATGCCAAGAAAACTTCTAATATTAGCCACAAAGTGATAATAAGTGAAGAAATAAGTTTATGACTGTAGGTAAAACTAGTCATGTGACACTTTTTAAAGGATGTTAAAATGTAAAAAACAAACAAACCCTGTAGGTGAAGAAACTTTGTGTGTGTTGCAACATATGTGCCTATCTTAAAAAATAATTAAATAAATACGGAACGCAGGAATTTGAGACAACTAATATAGTTGAATGCCACGTAGCAATAACCATGCTGGCAATTACAGTGGTAATAGTGTAATAACACTAGAATAAAAGAGGAAGAATTTCTACTCGCAGATGAATAAATAAATAAATAAATCTCGTTCCATTATCTTTGGAAGAAACAGCTTCTGAGTAGACAAACTCTGTAGGATTGTCCTGGAGTGAATAAATAATAACAATAAGGAAGTCAGAAAAGCAAAAAACCTTTTTTTTTTTTGGTAGCCCAGATAATATCTCTTTCAGGCAATTAGCTGCTCAGAAATTGACAAGTGCTGAATTTAACATTTTAGGACAATATATCTTATATTTCTAGAATTTGTTCAGCTAAACTCCAATCTCTGAAATAATAGAGTTGTCATTACTAATGAAAGTAATGCAGCTGTAAAAATAAGTCAGGAAAAAAAAGGCCTGTACTGATGGCTGTAGCACAGCTGTAACCATCAACTTGTAGAGTATAATCACAGGGAATGAATGCATCAGTTAATAGGGACTGCCTTACTATTTAGATACAAAAAGTAATTAAGAATACGATATTCTATTGTGGTTTATTCTGCAGACTTCAATTCCATCATTTTATATGGATAGGTGTACTCATAGGTGTGGCTGTCTTAAATGTTGGGCAACTTAACTGGAGCAAATTGAAGGAATTGGCATTCTGATGAGATGTTTGTATACCTTGAGTGAGTTCAGCCTGATGCTCTTTAGTTAGGTTATGCCAGTAACCAGTTAGGTTATGCCAGTATGCAGGAGTCTTGTTGTCAGCAGAGTTAATGTACATGATTGTGATTTCTGGGACTTTGAAGGTAAGTGTTGTGGAAGGAATTCTTGTGGCAGTGTGATAATTTGCAATCTTTTAGTAGGTATGTAGCATTGATTTGCTCTTGTAAGCTGTGGAAGAGTTGTGTTTATAGTATGTTCTCTGTACCCCAGTTCTGCATTATACAAGTAGTGTTAGATTATAACACATCTCAAATTCCTTGTTCAGTGTTCTGTAGCATCACTGTGAATGAACTGATAATGTATGTTTTGTTAGTCCATTGAGTCTTTTACTCAAAGGTTATTTAGGCTGCTTTGCAGAAAAAGCATGTCATTTTAGAATTTCCTCTTTTTTTTTTTTTTTTATATAATGTTGGTGCTACCATACCTATTTTCTCCTTTTTCCAAGGTTTGAGGATTTCTGAACCTAGGTATTCTAGAAGAGTACATATTAATATATATGTATTAATGGGCAATCTTATTTTTGCAATGATAAGTTTTGGGGATAATAATTTTCCTTGCTTTTTTTAATGGTTTCTCAGCACCAATATCACCTGCCACCCAAATTCCACTTCTCAACAGCTGAAAACCATGAGTCATAATAATAGAATTCTATTTATTAGGCTCTTTACTTCCCTTTAATTACATAATTAATTGTATCATTTTTTTACTAGACATGGCAGCCTTAATAAAGTGTTAAAAAGGCAATATTTACTTTTATAGGAAGCATAGAATCATAGAATGGTTTGGGTTGGAAGGGACCTTAAAGATCATCTGGCCCCAACCCCCCTGCCATGGGCAGAGACACCTTCCACTAGACCGAGTTGTTCGAAGCCCCATCCAACCTGGCCTTGAACACTTCCAGGGATGGGGCATCCACAGTTTCTCTGGGCAACCTGTTCCAGTGCCTCAGCACCCTCATAGTGAGGAATTTCTTCCTTATATCTAATCTAAATCTTCCCTCTTTCAGTTTATAGCCATTACCCCTTGTCCTAACACTACATGACCTTGTAAGAAGTCCCTCTGCAGCTTCCTTGTAAGCCCCCTTCAGGTACTGGAAGGCTGCTATAAGGTCTCCCTGGAGCCTTTCCTACTCCGGGCTGAACAACCTCAACTCTCTCAGCCTTTCCTCATAGGCGAGGTGCTCCAGCCCTCTGATCATCTTCGTGGCCCTCCTCTGGACTCGCTCCAACAGGTCCATGCCTTTTTTGTGCTGGGGACCCCAGAGCTGAATGCAGTACTGCAGGTGGGGTCTCATGAGAGCAGTGTAGAGGGGCAGAACCACCTCCCTTGACCTGCTGGCCACTCTTCTTTTTATGCAGCCCAGGATATGGTTGGCTTACTGGGCTGCAGGTGCACATGCTGGGTCATGAGCTTTTTATCAACCAACACCCCCAAGTCCTTCTCCTCAGGGCTGCTCACAGTCCACTCTCTGCCCAGACTGTATTTGTGCTTGGGATTGCCCCGACCCATGCGCAGGACCTTGCACTTGGCCTTGTTGAACTTCATAAGGTTCGCACCGGCCCACCTCTCCAGCCTGTCAAGGTCTCTCTGGATGGCATCCGTTCCCTCCAGTGTGTTGACCACACCACACAGCTTGGCGTCGTTGGCAAACTTGCTGAGGGTGCATTCAATCCCACTGTCCATGTCACCAGCAGAGATGTTAAACAGTGCCGGATCCCTGAGGAATGCCACTCGTCACTGGTCTCCACTTGGACATCAAGCCATTGACCACAACTCTTTGAGTGCGACCATCCGGCCAATTCCTTATCCACCGAGTGGTCCATCCATCAAATCCACATCTCCAATTTAGAGACAAATGCTTTGCACAAGTCTGGGTAGATGATGTCAGTTGCTCTTCCCTTATCTGCCAATGCTGTAACCCCATTGTAGAAGGCCACCAAATTTGTCAGGCACAATTTGCCCTTAGTGAAGCCATGTTGGCCGTCACCAATCACCTCCTTATTTTCCATGTGCCTTAGCGTAGTTTCCAGGAGGATCTGCTCCACGATCTTGCCAGGCACAGAGGTGAGACTGACTGGCCTGTAGTTTCCTGGGTCTTCCTTTTTTTCCCTTTTTAAAAATGAGGGTTATGTTTCCCTTTTTCCCATCAGCGGGAACTTCACCAGACTGCCACGACTTCTCAAATACGATGGATAGCATCCATGGTTTAGCAATGTCATCTGCCACTTCCCTCAGGTGCATCTCATCAGGTCCCATGGACTTCGGCACCTTCAGGTTCCTTAGGTGGTCTGGAACCTGATCTTCTCCTCCAGCGGGTGGATCTTCATTCTCCCAGTCCCTGCTTTTGCCTTCTGCAATTTGGGCAGTGTGGCTTGAGCCTCTGAAGACTGAGGCAAAAAAGTCGTTGAGTACCTCAGCCTTCTCCATATCCCAGGTAAAAGATACGCTGCAACTGCTAACGAGCACTCAGTCAACAGGGCTGGACTGGTGCTGCTTCAAAGTAACTAGTAACACAGTCCAAACAGCATACCCAAGTAAGATGCTTTGAAGTTTTAGAGTTTTTGTATGTATTTTAGAGAGCTTGCAATAGTTTTATATTTAACACAAAATGCCTCAATTGCAGGTGACGATACTGTTAGAGATACAAGTATCAAAAACCAAGGTGTCAGAAGAGTACAATGAACAGCAACACTAGGCTACTGACAGCCTTTGAGTACCAGACATCAAGTTGCTTAATCTCTGGGGTTCTAGTCTTTATAAGAAAAGAAGTTGTTAACAAGTGTACTTAAAGCAACAGAACGTGAGCCAGCAGTGTGTCCTGGCAGCAAAGAGGGCCAACAACATCCTGGGCTGTGTAAGCAGGAGTATAGCCAGGTGGTTGATGGAAATGATCGTCCCATCTAGACATCCCATCTACTGTAGACTGCATCTAGAGTATCACTTCCAGTTGTGCCGCCTCTGACCCCATACAGGAAAGACATTGACAAACTGAAGTGAGTTTAGTGGAGGACCACCAAAATGGTCAGGGCTGGAGCACTGGAGCTGGTTCAGCCTGGGGCAGAGGCAGCTTTGGGGGAGACCTAACAGCAGCCCCACCCGGCACCTATGGGACGGTCAGCAAGAAGATGAAGCCAGGTTCTTCACAGCATGGCATAGCAGCAGGATTATAGACAACAGACAAGAAACTGAAACAAAAGGGTTTGGGGTGGATATAAGGGAAACCTTTTTTCCCGTGAGGACAATCAAGCACTGGAATAGGTTGCTTGGAAAAATTGTGCAGTCTCAGTTGTTGGAAACTAAGATGTTTCTAAGACTTAACCGGATAAAGACCTGAGTAACCTGACCTGAGCTCACAGCTGAGCTTGCTGTGAGCAGAAAGTTGGGCTGAGACCTATTGAGATCCCTTTCAACTTGGACTGTCCTGTGATCCTAAGATTTATGAAGAATGTGGCAGAAGAGATACTGTCATCTAGTGGAAATTGATGAAGTATTCTTACCTGAGGTACTTAAAAAGCTGCAGCAGCAAGATTACAGAATCTAGCAATTCCTGAAAGCTGTAATTAGAAATATTGAATAGTTTCTGTAGAAGATACTGAAGAGTTGCGATACAGTTTAGAGAATGGAGGATGGGGCCATGATGTGGATATAGAAATACTTACATGGTCCAAGGCAGTGTCTAAAAGGCAAATGTTCTGAGTTGGCAGACATAAAAAAAAAAAAAAAAAGACAGCTTTTATGATACATAAGCAGTAAGCATCGTGACCTAAAGAAAACTGTGAAACTTAGTTCTCATTCCATGATATAATGATAGTGAATTAGATAACAAATACAGATAGTGCAGGAAAATATTTGTGATTAATACGTAAGTGTCGATCTTTTTTTAAAAATCTCTATTTTTAATAAATTCAGCAGTTCTTCCAATCATTAGTTCTCAAGCTCTTCAGTCTCCATAGTGTCTTGTGGTAATAAGTTGTGCAAATTAATATGCATTACGTGAAAAATTCCTTTCTTTTGTCAACATCAAATGTGTGTGTTTTGTAATCTTTCTACATGAACGTATCCTTGTGTTATGGTAAAGAAAGATTTTTAATCAACATTTCCTACACATTTCTGTCCTATTCCTTTTATTTTAGTTTCTAAAGAGAATATCCTGATCCTTAAGAAGAATTTTGTTTCCTTTGGAATAAAAAGCTTTTTTCATATCTGTAATCATTCCCATTGCTTTTTCTGAACATACTCTCTTCTTAGGTAATTAAAGTAACAGGCGTAGCATTCATGGAAAGTTCTATACTTTTATGCGCGTGTGTGTGGTGGGTTAACCTAGGTATCCTAATATTTAATTTGTTTTAATTTCTATTGCTTTGTTGTAGAGAGTATTTTGTTACAATTTATTTAAAAATCAAGATATTTCAGTTCAGATTTTTCCCTTTAATATCTACTATGTTATTTAAAACAAAATTTTAAGAAAATCATGCTGCACATTTGCCTGTCTTGGCTGGAAGTTCTTTGGTTTTCTCTGGCCCCAGTTTAAGTAAATAATTTTTTTGCTATCATAAATTGTTGACTATTTTTTCCATTTGTTCCTTTTCTCAGATGATTAAATAGTACATAATCTGTTATCTTCCTTTCTACTTTGTCATGGTGGAAGATACGTGATGATTAGTAATATTTTAAAGACGAGACTGGTTGTTTTTCCAAAACACACATTTTTTTTTTGAGAGCAGCAGCATTTTGCAAATGCTTTACTTGAAAATTTTCTAACGATACAAAAAAAAAAAAAAAGGTGGTGGCCACCTTGGTTTAAAAGGATTAGATTTAGATAGTGAAATTTATTCTGGATTTTAGCATCCTGTCTCACATAAGCTTCATGGTCTATGTTTCTGCTGTTTTCTCAGGGATATATTCAGTCCTGCTTTCATATATATTAGATTATTTCATTGGGAAAATAGTTCTAATAATTCTTGATTGATCATTCTCTTAGCTTATGCTTTGTTCTTCTTGCTGGACTCCAGTAATTGAGAGTAAATAGAGCATCCTGAGAAAGAAAATGGGCTATTGAATCATCATGGCTTGTTACTGGAGACGTTTTTACCTTGGTATTTCAGAATGACTGTGTTCTCATCCTCTTGGTTTTTTTTTTCTTCTGAGACCAGGGTTTGAGAAGAAGTTATGGTGGTTTTTAGTACAGCGTTAACTCTGCATTTCAGAAAACTTCCAAGGTGTAAAGATGCATGGACATGGGCTTGATAGCACTGCTCTGGTAATGCAGAGTTAATGAAAAAAGACAATCTCAGTGACAAATAACGTTTGTTGTATTTCTTCATGCTTGTTCTTTAGTTTTGTCTTCAGGAAAGTAAAATGCTGCTGAAATGCTTCTGGGCTGTTTAAAAATTAATAAACAAAACAGACTTTGTTCAGCTACAGCATAGGCATCTTTACAGATAAACATGAAGTTTATCCAAGTTTTTCTTTTTCCCTGTCAGATACCTTTCTTTTTATCCCTCTGAAGGCTTACTCCTCTTACACGATAACTGATTGCTTTGATTTTTTTGCAGACTATGTGAGAAGTTGTTTTCAGGGAGCAGTATATTTGAAGGAATTCAGGTTGTCTGAATGACATGTGTGTGAAAATACAATAGTTCTTTGTGAAGTAATCAAGCCGTAGGTCTTCTCTTGATATGAGGAGAGTAGTTTGCTGATTGCCAAAGGATTGAACAGTTGGCCTCTTCATAGTAATTTCTTCTAATTAAACGTACCATTACGTAAAATTAATCATTATTTAAGCCTTCCTCCAAACTAGCTGTTATTTACTATGGAAAGAACACGTGGTTGTACTTGTAACAGCAGCCAGAACTCAAGAAAGCCATGGACAAAATTTAATACTTGATGGATTCAAGAGTTTGGTAGCAATAGTAGTATGATTTTCTATTCAGGTTATTTGCCTAACTTTTTTTTTTTTTAATGTTGAGAAATAAGACCATTTGTCTTTTGAAAGCTAAATATACGTAAAGGGACATATAAGGAGTACTCAGTAATGCTTATTTTGCTTTCTCCTAGAAGCTGATGGACAGGTTTGACTTTGGGGAAGAATCTGAACAAAATGAAGAGCCTAAAAAGGAAACTCCCACTTCCCAACTGTAAGATCAAGCTATGTTTCTTATGGAAAATGCTAAAATTTGCCTGACACTAGTTGAACATTAGGATTAAATAGTAAGGAAAATGTTGTTTCTTTCAGAGCATTTAATATAACTCCGTGTGCCGGAAGTTTTGTTAACTTCATCTTAAAGTTAGCACGTTCTTTGCTTTGTTAGTTATATTCATAGCATTAATGTGATAAAGATGATAACAGAAGGTGGAACTAGCTAGATTGTCTTCATTATTTTACATTTTTAGTTAAACTTTAAACTCAGTTGTGAAGACCTGTTTACCAACTGTTTAAACCAAGAGAAAACCTGTTGTGTTTTTTTAATTTAAATTATTTCATTTTAGGCCTTTAGTACCAGAATCTGTGAACAACTCACTTTTTCACCAACTAGCTGAACAGCTACAGCAACAAAATTTAGAACATCTCAGACAACAGCTTCTGGAGCAACAGCAGCCTCAAAAGGTAAGAACTCCATCTTGTGGCTGTTGTAATAATTATGTTCTCCACTGATAAAAAAACTCATACTCTACTTCAGGTCAAAAAAATTGTCTTGTTACTGATGCTTCTCTTATAATAAAAGTCTTTCTCACTAGCTGATCATCTAACAGAAGCTTGCAGAGTAAGTGAAATAAGCGGAAGAAAGTGCTTAAAGCAGAAAAAAAATACAAACAAATGTGTGGGGTATACATTCTTCTTCTGTTAGGAAAGAGTACCCTTTAGCTGAGTTGCAGACTGACTGTGCTTTGGTTGTTTAGCTCTATATTGGGGGGGGGGGGGGGGGCTTTTTTCGCCGCTCTGGGCACAAAAAAAAAAGGGGGGCCCTGCCGTCCGTTCTTGTTATATTTTTTCCGGGGGGGGGGGGGGGGGAAGCTTTTTCCCTGCTGTCAGGACAAAGAAGGTGAGCACTGAAGTGATTATGCTCCTGCCTGTGAAGGAAGAGCAGCGTGCAAACTGCTGCTGCAGAAGCATTCAAGAGGACAGAATAGAGATTGGGGATAACTTTAATTTCCCCTACCAAGCTTTAAGCCTTGGCTAATAAGTGTCTCATTCTGTTGAAGAATCTGAGCTGAAGAAGAGTCTCACATATTTCCTGAGAAATGATTAATTAAGAACTGATGCTCAAGATAACCCAAGATTCCTTCTTAACTATGTGAATTGGGTCCCCTCTACTCTATATTGAAGTAAATTGGCTTATCTCTTCTGAGGTTAGTCCTCAGTATTTACCTCCTCGTTTCCCCTCCTGATCCCAATTCCTGATCCCATTAGGAGAAAAACAAACAAACAAAAAAACAAAAAAACCCCAACAAACAACAATAAACAAAAACCCAGAAGTTTATTCTGTCTTGATACTGACCAGGTATAAAGTGAACTTTCTGTGAAGTATTTGGATCTAGTTTCACAGCAAGATAGAAATCTAAGGGACCACAAACTTAACAAACATCTGCTGGGGATTTTAGTTTAACCTGTGCAAAGGTGCAGTCGCTCAGCTTTCAATCAAGAACATAATTTGAGTTTTGAATTCGTGACTTTGAGTTTTTAGTTGTTCAGAAAAATAGTAATTTAATTTTTACTAGATACTATTTTCTTATTCTACTTCTTTATTTTACTATGTTTTATTTTCTTATTTAAATGCAGTAACTGAGAAAGTTTGTACAAACTTTCTACAGACAGTAGTTTTTGATGTTAGTGGATATCTAGCAATTTCTGGCTTTACACACTAAGAAATGTTGTAAAGGAATATAACTTTGAAGAGTGCATGTGGTTTAGGAACTTCTGATGTGATGTATCTAAAAGTAACTGTCTAATTTGAAAATAAAGATGGTGAATGCCTACTTTATTGTACAATAAGCAGAATTAGAGTTTAAATTAATTTTATCTATGAAACTAAGTTACAGTACATCTATGGGTAGAATGTTCATTCGACTCGTCCCTTATTATTTGACCTTCTATTCTATTCCAAGTGCTCTCCCAGAAGTTTTTTCCCTATTTAATATTAATTATTTCAAAGTGTTGTATTTAAGGATGATACAAAAAATGGAATGGAATGGGGGGACATCTATTTCAGCTTTCACATTAAAGGGAAGTGGGAAAATAAGAGAAACTTGATAAATAGTTTTTCAGAGATATTTGAACAGTTGTTTCATGTAGTATTATATTTTGACACAGTAAGCATTTTGTATTATGAGGCTTTTTATGATATATTATCATTTGTTATTTAGGCAAGCCCTGAGGAGAATCAAGAAGGAAATTTTGGTTCAGAGCACTCTGCCTCACCATCACAAGGGAGTAGTCAGCAGCAGTTTTTAGAAGTGGAAACAAATGTGGATGATTCAATGGATATTCAACAACAGGTAAAACTATTTTAAATTTGATTACAGAACTTGAAAGGAAAACATACTAAGATGATTTCAAAATGGGTAATATGGATGTATGCTTTCATATAGTCATATATATTGTGAGTATGTTTATTACATGTTATGGAACATCTGTTATGTCTGACCTCAGGACATGGATATAGATGAAGGACAGGATGTTGCCGAAGAAGAGATTTTTGAACAAGAAGAAAAGAAATCAACTGTTCGTTCAAGATCAAGAACTCGTTCAAGATCTCGTTCAAGGTTTCATAATTAACTTGTATTAAGTAAATGAAGATTTCCTGAAACAAAGTTGCAATTTGTGATTATCGTTCCCAATTCTGTATTTTGCAAAATTGTCATGAGCAGTTTTTGGCAGTGAAAAAAAAATGTTCATTTAATATTTGTGTGTTAGACCCAGACTTTCTGTATGACAATCATTTTACATATATACGGTCTACTTTAAATTTTTTAAGACCTGTTCCGGTAACAAAAATAACTAGCACTAGCAGCTGGTCAGGTTTTCTATGCCAGAAAAGTAGATACTGTTATGGAACTCTTTGAATGTGTGTTGTTTTGTTTTAAGTTCAAGGTGTAGGTTCTATTCCTCACACTAATGGCATTAAGTTTATTTCCTGAAGCAGTCTGAGTGAATATAATGGAAATGTCTGTATCATGCTTAAAGTTTGTAGTTAAAATATGACTAAATTAGATTTTTTTTTTTTTTTTTTTTTAAACTCAGCATACTGAAATTAAGTATTTTGTAGGTCACCAAGAAAACGAAGGTCTAGATCACGGTCTGGTTCTCGTAAGCGTAAACACAGAAAACGTTCACGCTCAAGATCCAGAGAAAGGAAGAGAAAGTCGTCTCGGTCATATTCCAGTGAAAGAAGGGCTAGGGAAAGGGAAAAAGAACGTCAGAAAAAAGGATTGCCTCCTATACGGTCAAAAACACTAAGTGGTAAGTGGCAGCTGCTTACTGTTTTAATAATGTAGTATTAAAGGAAAAAAAGGCTTTGTTTTTCATTGAAAGAGCAAGATTTAGCTTGAATACTGTTACAAAATACAGTAACCATAATCCTTTTTATAAGTTTCATTTCTGGTGTTTCTTACAACTTGAACAGGTACGTCATTTCGTCTTAGAGGAAAGCAAGTATCATACTGTTCTACTGATGATTTTACTCGTACTGTTGCACCAATGTTATTACTTCTGAACAGAGAGTAGCAAGGGCTGTCCCTAAGTTACAATGTGCTTTCTCTTTAATGCTGTCTTCTGTGGGGCATTTGAAGATTATCAGTGCTTGATCTGAAAATTGGTATGCTGATAAGACATTCAAGTATCTGGTACACACTTTGGACACTTTGCTGAATACCTTAAATAGGGGCCAGTTTTGTTAAACTTTTAGAGTGCTTTTCAAATAGGTTTTCACAGGACCATAGAGCCAAAGCAGGTGGAAATGTGAAACAAGTAATTTGTGATCAGAAGACAGACGATAATCGTTGTATCTTAAGAAAGCATCCAAAAACTAACTGGATTTCTGCTTCTGCAGAGTGCTGCCATGTATGGCTGTCATGTCTACAGAGAATTTATATACTAAAAAGAAGGAAGGTAGTAGGGAGCAGAACTTTCTCCACACAGTTGCTTAAATCAAAGGGAATGTATTTTTAGATGAGCACTCAGTGAAATTGGGTGTAGTCATCTGCTACTGTATCAGTATATCCTATTGTTGCTGTTAGCAGGACTCTGGATTCTTGGGATGCATAATTCTACTTAATTTACTTTTGCAATGAACTTATGTTCCCGAATCTCACTTTTTTTAGATAGTTCCTACACAGCTTCTGATGTAGTTTTGCATTTATTTTATGTTTTAAAACTATATTGTTTATCTGACAAGTTAAGCAGTTCAAAATTCATTTTTGCAAAGGAGAGAGTGTTCTGTTCACATTAACGTTTTACATCATTCAAAGGTGGCTTTAAACTCAGGACTTTACTACAGTTTAGATGTATGTTTTTTTCTTCTCTGGCTTTTCACACGAGAAGCAGCAAATCAGTTTTATGGTGTAGATTTCTCCCAGTAGTCCACAAAGCAGGGAGCTATAATCAGAATGGATGGGAACTGAGAGGCAGGAATGTTAAGTGACCTGATGAACAACAGCAGCAACTGAGATCCTGTGAAGTGACCCGGCTCATGGAAAAGAGACTTTAAGAAGGCTAACTGAAGTGTGGAAACTTTGGGGTGGTAAATAAATAGGTAATTCACCTGATAATCGTTTTACTTCATGAAATTTGTTCAGTTGCAGCCACTGTTATCACTTGCTGAGGTCTGAAGAACTGTTTCATAGAGCTTAACACTATGAGAAACAGAAGGGCCATCTACAAGCATGTGAGGAACAAGTTTTGTCCAAGAGAAATCTTAAGGCTAGTCATTCTCAGTACTACTGAGTACTGCTGTCAGTTGAAAATGCAGCTGACAGAGGAACGCACAGCACTGCTTTCCAGTTTGGTGCACCAAGATTGATACAGGAAGGACATGTGATGTATCAAGTTGATGATGATGAAGAAAGAATGTTTCCTTGGTTCAGGATTGGGCAGGCCCAAGAGATCCAGGTTGTCTGGTTTTGTTCTGCCTTAGATCCTTTAAGATCTTGGGTGGATTACTCAGGGTAGTAAGATACTTGAGGAAAGCTACCAATATTGGCCTAATATCTTGCTGATTTACATCACCTTGTCTTAAGCGGAAATGACTGCTATGAGTTTGTCAAGGCTTGCGTACATAGACTGAGTAATATTTGGAAGACAAAAGAATTGGAACCATGTACATAAGGGAGAAGGAAGTTCAAGCTCACATGTCAGTGAGTGTTCATCCTTGGCGAGGGGGACGGGTAGGCGTTTGGTAGACAAATTGCAGGGATGTGGGCTTGTGGTGGCATTGACAAGAGTCAGAAGTATCATGGACATCTTCAGCTCAGTGGTGGGCTTCAGCCAAGTTTGTTTTTCTGGGATGTTCCCCAAGGTAAAGTAAAAGTATAGTTTCCATTTCTTTCACGTGAAAATGCAGTGCATAATACTGCAGTTAAGTTTCTTCTGCAGTACGCTTCTAGCCAGTTAGAACTTAATCTTACTTTGTTAAAACTGACTTTAAATCCTACAGGCATCATTTTTATGGAACATGGAATAGAAATGATTATTAGTAATCTCTAGGGCAGTTTACCTTAGCTAATAATCTACAGAATTTTAGTTTTTCATTTCTTTTAAAGCAACTATTTTGTTTAAAAGAAAATGAAACAAGAAGAATGAATGCTTGTACTGACTATCTGTTTGGTGTCTTTTAACCTTTTAACATTTTTGATAATGTACTTAATCTCTATATAGTAAGTAATAGATTTGCTATTCTTGCTTTTGGATGAGTGATTTTTGTGCAACTGTAAAGCCTTTTGTATCCATGCTGTAGAGTATTTTATAAGCTAACATTCTAGTATTTTGATTGACATGAATGTGTCTCTTGACAGTTTGCAGTACCACTCTTTGGGTAGGTCAAGTAGACAAGAAGGCTACACAGCAAGATTTAACTAACTTGTTTGAAGAATTTGGACAAATAGAGTCTATTAATGTAAGTAAGCATGTTATCATGCATTTTCAGGGATTACAGACTAGCAATTTAAACATGCTTATGCCTCTGAATTCCTTTTAGCAGCTTAAGCTTGTATTTAGGAGACTGGTTTTTTATCACTCTTTAAAAACTGTGGCTGTGATATTTGTTTGTTGGTTTCCATGTTCTGTCTTTTGAAGCGCTGAAGACAGTGTACTTCATGGTAAGATGGCTTTTCCCAAGCACTAACAATTTACACAATTTTTTAAACCAGGGTCTTAACAAATGAAAAGTGATGTCTTTTCTCTTTTTGTGATGTGGCATGGAGCAGACATCATTTTTCCTTGGACTAATGGACACAAACTGATGTGAATCCACATTGCTCTTGGTTACATTCCATACAGAGGGTTCCTTAAGTGGAATCAATGTGGATAAAACGTTTAGAAGAAAAGAAATTGTACTGTAAACAAGTGTTTGTTCTAAAATGTGACAATTAAAAATATGCTTATAATTTCGCATGATTTCTCATAGTTTCTCATGATTTAGAGTCATTTAGAGTAGACATTTACAGTCATGCTTCAGTGTTGCCTATAATTAAGCTTCAAGAGAAAGTATTTTTCTCCTAAAATAACATATCTACATGAGAGGAATTTGGATTTTTGTCTCTTGCTCCAGCAGTTTTAAAGTGCTTCTTATGCAATTTCATTCATTTTAGATAATATTTTTACCATTTTTCTTATCACGTTAATATATTCAGGTATATAATTAATAAGGAACATTTTTTGTGGCATTACAGAATCTTTTTAAAGTCTTCACAAGTCAAAAAACCCCATAGCCTGACATTTAAGCCTCATTTTGATTTGCAGGAACTAGCAATGAAGAAAGTTCAAAGGAAAGTAATGTAACAACCATAATGTCCTAGTGCCTGTTACATTTCAGAGGCAAACCATATGGTAAATAGTTCATCCTATGCATTCCACAAAGCTTTAAGTACCTAGGATAACATTGTTCTATATTTTAAACATACTTTTGTAACAACTGCATTAAAATCTGTCGTCTTAAATATTTTTGTTCATTATGTTACTGTGTGCTCCTAAACAACATAAAAGCACACCTATTTTTTATAACTTTTGACTAAAACTAAAATAAGCAGTTGTCATGCGTGATTTGCAAACTTTCAAAAATTACATGCCACATCATACTTTTCTTTCCTAAATAAAACATTAAAGTTAGTGGAAGTCACACTTCAGGAATGAGGACTCTACCCTTCAAAAATGCAAGATACTTTTAATTACTAGTTTGCAACTCTGTGAAAGGTTGTTGCTCAGCTCATAGTGAATTTGGAGCTTGATAAGAGGTGGCAACCTCTGCTTTTCTGAAGTTGTCATAGTATAGCTCCCAGTTCTTGCCTGCTCCATGTTGTTCAAATCTTTCATGTCATTTTCAGCACCCATTCTTCAGCTTTGCTGCTGCTTCTTGAAATTGTTATAACTGAAGTACCCTACAAATATCACTCTTAAGTTTTGCTGATGCTCAAAATTGTTAATATTGCTGGTTAAGGTAATGATTGTTTACAGTGTAAGCCTTTCCTTTTTTAGTATTAGTATTGACTTAGTGTAGTTATGTAATCTGAAGTACTGGTTTTCCTACTTTTTAAGACCATTGCGTTTTTCCTATAGATGATTCCCCCAAGAGGTTGTGCTTATGTCTGTATGGTTCATAGACAAGATGCATATCGTGCTCTTCAGAAACTTAGTTCTGGGTCCTATAAAATTGGGTCTAAAATTATTAAGGTAAGTTGATTTTAATCTAAGACTGCTGTCCATTTCAAATACAGTACAGTTTTAGTATGATGATTTGTCATTTAGCAGCTGTTCATTCAAATGTACAATATGGAGAAGAAGAATGAAGCAATAAGGTGTAAATTGTTTTCTTTCCTCTCTGTAAAATGCAGCTTTTAACAAGTGATATGGAAGATAGGAAAATGAAATTATGACTTGATACTTAGGAAATACTTGGAGAACATTTTATGTATGTGCTAGTGATAAGAGTACAAGACTGTAAACAACCTAATGCTGTGGGTTTTTTCTGCTTTCTTTGATGCTTTAGGATGAGTCCTTGAAATACTGTATTTTTAATTTCCCCATATATATGTTAGAATTAACGTAGGACAAATTTAAGCTTTTTGATGTAATTGATCTTCCACATACCTGTTGTTGCAGGGGCCAAGTATACTTCCTACAGGTTCATTTAAAATGAAAAACTTGTTAAAACTTTAATAAATAGATACTGAAGATTGATCTGCGACAGAAACATGAAGGACATGATCTGAAATACTCTGTTCACAGGTTATATGATTTAACCAGATTCTCTGGTTGGATTTTATTTTCAGATTGCCTGGGCTTTGAATAAAGGTGTGAAAACAGAATACAAGCAATTCTGGGATGTGGATCTGGGAGTTTCATATATTCCTTGGGAGAAAGTAAAATTGGATGATTTGGAGGGCTTTGCTGAAGGTGGCATGATTGACCAGGAGACAGTAAATACAGGTATGAACATTAACAATGATTCTTCTAGTAAGAATATGTGTTTATTTTGGTAATGGCAAATCCTCAGAACATTTATTGTTTTAGTTAATACATACTCTTTTACAATTTACTTAAATTTTACTAACTACTTTTTTACAGCATAAATGGCACTGACATGAAGTCTAGATTGTCTTTTTAGATGAGTAACTAATTGATTGTCATGACAATGAGGAATTAGTGACAAAGGGGAATTAATTTAAGCAAGTTAATAAAGGTTAGCATTTTTAAAAACAGTTATGGATTTTCTGTGTACTCATTTTCAAGCATATAAAATACTAATTTGTGTAGAAATTATGATCTGCCTGTGATTGTGAAGAGTCTTGTATTCAGGTATAAGATTTAAGCTGGAATTGGTACTTGTCCAAATAGGCACAGCTTAGCTGAACCTTAAGGTATTTCCTCCATAAAGTCAAAGAGATAGGAAAGCAAGTAATGTTAGACCTTACTCTGAAGCCCAGTTAATTGAGAGGTTTGTTAGATTTGTAAAAGATTCATGAGTACTGTTTTTTGTTGAAACGGATCTAGCACCAAATAACTGGACTATACTGAAGAAAGTAGTAGATTAAGACCGTTTTATAATAGCGACAATAATTTTTCATGTCAAAATGCAGTCTTGCTTTGAGTAAAAATTGAACATAAAAGACAGAAAAATTAAAACACGAAACATTACTGAAATACATTCACTATGTTATACTTGAAATACAAAACTTTTTGAGGAAGTGACAGAAGGAAGAAATGGGGGTTGGGGTGAGGTTTGTTTAACATGAGGATTCTCTATCATTGTACAGTAGCCAGCTGGTAACATAGATATGTTGACAACAGCAGTTTTTAGACAACTGGAGCATACTCTGTCTTACAAATTATAAACAGAATGATTGGTGAAAACTTGGGAAGTTTTGAAAAAATGAGTTTGTATACAGGCATAATTAAACAGAGTATTGCAGGTGATTAAAGATATTTTACTTTCTTTAAAATATATAACAATAAGTAATTGCACTTGCTTCTTTTCATAATAAGGTTGGGGTTTATTTGCAATGACTCTATATAGACACCAGATTAAAATTTATTGTTTAAGAAGGAAGAGGACTTTTTACTATTTAAACAAAAGTAACACATTAATTTTCTTTTTATATTAAAAATATACCTTTTCCTAAAGAATGGGAAACAGCCAGAAGCTCAGAAGCTGCTAAAGAAAATATTCAAACTACGCAGAGTGCTGCAGTTGATAAGAGTACAGTTATTACAACACAGACAGAAGCTTACACGCAACCAGTCACTATGCTGCAGGTTTGTATTGGTCTGAGTTTGCAAAAACCCCACAGAACTGGAAGGCAAACTTTTTATTCAGTACAGATAAACTGTAATGCTGAGTGAAAGTACCTAAGTCAAAAATACTTAAGTCCTGCGTCCATGTGTGTTTATCTCTGAAATATTTTAGAGAAGAATCAGTTGCTGTGGTTGAGCAAAATCTTTAGTTTCGTGCAGAACATATCTCAAACTTGTGTAAAATCGCAAATGAAGGCTTAAATGTTGAAGACAGAGCAATTGTAAAAAAAAAAATACTGACACGTTAGTTTTTTAAGGAGGAATTAAAATGACTTACAGGAAGTATTTTGCTTGCAGAGCAAAGTATCTTTCTGTAAGCTAAGCAATGCAATAATATTTTTTTTTTCACTTGTGCTTGTTTCTTCTCTATCGATGTGCTTTTCCCCATATCAGCTCTGAATATAAGTGTTTTCTCAGTAATTTCGAGCAGGATTTCACAGGAACAGTCTTATCTTTAAAAGATCTGATTGTGTACGTAGTGTGCTGTTGCACTCTATATGCAGTAATTCAAGAGAGTCTTTGATTCTCTGCTGTATTTTTTTCCTTCTGCTAAAAAAGAGAGTTTTTATTAACATCCAATCAGTAATAAGGTATTGTGGAAGGCTAGAAGAATACAGTGTAATTTTTCTTGACTATACTGCACTACACATGTTTATCAAGTATAAATACAAATGCTTTTTGTCAGACTCTCAGTAAGTCCTTTTTATAATGACCATTTGAAATTGTAAAACGAGAAGCAGTTACTTAATACAGATTTTTTTTTTTATTCGTATTACTACTGTTTTATCTTTCTTAACATGTATAGACATTTCCAATACTTGAGCTGACATAAAATTACTATGACAGTTAACATATTTGCATTTAATTGCATTGAATTTTGAGCTTTTTTCTTTTCACAAGAATTGCCTTCAGTCTTCTTATTTCAACTGTTTCCTAGTGTACACTGTGATCAGTATATATTTAAATATACGTATATATTGCTTTTATTCTGCTGCTAATCACTTGTAATTATGCTGCACTGTATCAAAACATGTAGCTCAAACAGAAGTTTGAGAAATATTACGTAATTTTCAGGATTTCATCAGGACTATTAGCTTTATAATTACATACACTAAACTCGACTTTCCAGTACTGTTCTAAAATACATAAATTTTTCTAATGAAAATAGAATCACTGTTTTCTAAGTTCTCTCAAATTGCCACACTATCTACATCTACATTTTTCTTCCTCTTCTCTCTCTTCCTTTCTGCATTCACCTCTCTCCCTTAGGTAAATTTTTATTCTTGAATAAGTATAGTGTTTAACGGTGTAATTTTCTGTTCTTTTTAGAATAAAGATAGCATAGGATTCTTCCAGTGTTCTTGATTACCTGTAATGTAGGTACCATTTCAGAATACAATCTAATGCTTCAGGGTGTTCAGAGTATATGCAAAGCCTTTGGTATATTTAGTGCTTAACGTGAATTGCAGATGAATCAATTTATCCGTCTTTTGATGTCATTGAATACTGTTAAGTATTGAAGTTGCTTGTTTTTTCTTTCCATGAAAAAAGATTCCAGTAGCTCCAGCTGTGCCTGCTGTTAGCTTGGTTCCACCTGCGTTTCCTGTCACAATGTCTGTCCCTCCTCCTGGTTATAGTGCAATTCCTCCTCCACCCTTCTTGCGAGCCAGTTTCAACCCTTCACAGCCACCTCCAGGTAAGTTAGTAAAAATGAACTTGAGTATGTAATGAGCATACTCAGTTTATGTGCTTCTGTGTACATCGTGCTTTGTATAGTTTTCCATCAGCTACTGGTTACTGTTTGAGCCACTTGACCTTTGAATCTTTAATTTTAATCTAGTATAGAATTTCTTATGTCTAACTTAACATTTTTACCAGTGTATTCTGTCGAGAATAGGAATTATAGCAGAATTTTTTTTGAAAAATGAAAATTTAAAAATCCTTTGGATTAATCTCCTTTCTTTGAAAAATTTTGAAACTCTTAATTTTCTTCTTCGGATATTGCTGGCAGAAGTCACTTTTAAAGATGCACATGCAGATCATCTACAGTAAAGATGGAGTTGTTTTTGAAAACAATAACCACCATTGCCTCTTCCCATACATTTGTTGTTTGCTAGTCTTCAGTGATGCAGCTTTTCGGGATGAATAATGTAGGCAAGCTTTTACTGCAAAACTTTGTTTCCCTTGTAATAATTTGTCATTTTTTTCCATATAGGTTATATGCCTCCCCCAGTTCCACCTGTTGTCCCACCGCCTGTTGTCCCGCCACCTGTTGTCCCACCGGTTGTTCCAACACGTAAGTTTGATTCTTCTTATAGTTGTTTGTGTGTTACGAAAAGCTTAATTGTTTGGTGCGCTACTTGTTATTTAATTAAAAGCAAGTTAATCCTGTGTAATGGAAAACAGCAACACGGAAGTTACTGGTTTAAGCAGGTATTGAGAAAAAGATTTACAGAGCTTTTAAAGTTGACTGAAAAATGATACTTACCATGGAGTTACTGGGGAAAAAAATTATGGCAAATTAATTATTTATTACTTGCATGCATAGTTCAATATTTGAACCCGTCTGTAACAGATGTGTCTGTTACTTGAGCTATTTGGTGTTAGTCACTGAATAATTTATAATAATTTATTTTTGTTTAGCCTTTTAACTGTATTCATTTAACATTTTAAAATATCTGTTGAAGGGTACTGATTGCTTAGGTTGCCTGCAGTTCATGGTTTCTACAAAAAAATGAAATACTACAGTGCTGATTGAGGATAGGAAGTTATTATCAAAAAATGTAACACTTAGGGCAATTAATTTCACTTATTTTGATTTATCAGCCTGACCTCTGCCAAACTAATCTTGAAGGCTTGAATATATGATTACTGTGATACACTTCTGTTATTTCTCTACAGCTTTAGTACAGCCTCCATTACCAATTGCACAAGAGACGATGAAGGATGTTCCTTTTACTAGCCTTGTTCTGCCAGTTGGCACAGTTACTAGCAACCTGGCTACTCCAACGTTATCTGCTGGAAGTGGTTTTAATCCTCTGCCAATCAACAAACCAGAATCAGATGAAAAGGGATCACATCTTACAGACCTGCAGATTTCTTCCAGTGAAAACAGTAGATCTGGTAAGACATGTCTTTTATTGTCTAATATGATCACATACAGGAAACATCATACTTCTGAGGGTTTTTTTTCAGATTGTAGTCCATTGCACTAATAACTACGGAGTAGGAAGTTTTAGTCTGGGTATCATTTTCAGTTTAAGCTGGAGGAGTGGTGGGAACCATCTTTGTCATCACTGATCATTAATTTCCAGCAGCTTATGCTCAGGCATGTTTTCTTCATAGACTTGAGAAGTAAAGCTGAGACTGGGAGCCCTTTAGAAAACTTCTTAAAAGTGCATTCTTACTACACAAGTGGCAATGGAAAGGAGCAGGAGAGGGTAGGATAGTATAATATTTATAGAATTACATCAAAGATTTTAATACTGCCCTTGCATAAATTGGGTGATGGCTGTGGGGTTTGTCAATTTTAAACTGCTGTAAATTCTTTACTATGTAGAGACGTTCATTTCTGTGGCATAATGTCTGTTTATCACCAGTGTGATTAAAACGATGTGTTCATTTTAGAAACTGAGACAGATCTTTTCAGCAGTATCTTCACTGAATGCATTAATTGAATATGGATTAAGCTGCTTTTTGTTTTGAATGCTATGTGTTACACTGGCATTTTCTATTAACTGGTCTTTTTCTTGCTGCATTGTAGTGCAAAATGATGTCTCAAGTAGCTCTGGACTTGTTGGAGGAGTGCAGCCACCTAGCGTCTCAAGCAGTTCTGGGCTTACTGGAGAAGGGCAACCACCCAGTGTCTCAAGTAGCTCTGGACTTGCAGGGGGAGTACAGCCACCCAGTGTTTCAAGCAGCTCTGGACTTGTAGGAGGAGTGCAACCACCAACTGTTTCCAGCAGTTCTGGTCTTGCCGGAGGAGTGCAGCTACCCACTGTCTCCAGTAGCTCTTCTCTTGCTGGCGGGGTTCAGCCAACCAGCGTCTCAAGTAGCTCTGGACTTATGGCTGGAGTGCAACCACCAAATGTCTCAAGTAGCTCAGGGCTTCTAGCTGGAGTGCATCCACCCAGTGTCTCAAGCAGCCCTGGCCTTCTGACAGGAATGCAGCCACCCAATGTCTCAAGCAGCTCAGGAGTTCTGGCAGGAGTACAGCCACCAAGTGTCTCAAGCAACTCTGGGCTTCTCATAATGCCACCACCCAATGTTTCAAGTAGTTCTGGACTTATGGGAGTGCCACCACCAAATATTTCAAGTAGTTCTGGACTTCTGGCAATGCAGCATCCAGCTGGAGTTCAAAATATGCCTCATTTAAATATTAGTAGTCAAAGGATGCCGGGAATGCCTCTCATAGATATCCGTCCAGGCCTAATGCCCCATTCGCCTGGACCAAGGTTTCCACTAACCATCTCTTCACCCACCACCTCGAGGTCCTTTTCCTCCAGGAGATATTTTTAATCAAACAGAAAGACCTTTCGGAACACCAGGAAGACAAAATATCGATAGCATTTCTAATCCAGAGAAAAGACTACCACTCGGAGGCGATAACATGCAGCAGGAAGGAGACAGAGATTATCGCTTTCCTCCAGTGGAAAACCGAGATAATCTTAACAGACCATCTCCGGTGGATGTTAGAGATTCTGTTGGACGACCACCTGTTGATCCAAGAGAGGGTATAGGAAGGCCTCCAGTAGATGGAAGAGAACACTTTGCAAGATCACATGTAGACATGAGAGAAAATTTTGGAAGACCAGGTATAGATAACCTTGGTCGAAGAGAGCATTTTGGTTTCAATTCAGACAAGCACTGGGGACAGAGAGGAGATTATGATGAAAGAGAGCACCATGCTTTCCCTATTTATGGTGGCCCTAAAGGCTTCCATGAAGACAGAGAGAGGTTTCGGCATGTAAACTATAGGTTTGATAGTAGAAGTGGTCCCAGTTGGAATAGGGGATTTGAACAAGATGCTCACAGAGATTTTGATGACCGCAGAAGACCCTGGGAAAGACAGAGGGATAGGGATGACAGAGATTTTAATTTTTGCAGAGAAATTAATGGGAACAGGTTTGGAAGAGACAGAATGTCAAACAACTGGATCCCCCCTCCACATCCACGGGTTTTTGAATATTTTGATGGGGCCACTTCCCAACGCAAAGCCGATAATATGCCCCAGGTAAACGGTGAAAATACAGAGACAGAAAGTCAGCCACCAACTGCACAGGTGCAGGACGATCCAGAACTTTATGAAAAACTGACATCTTCCGTCGAGATAAACAAAGAGAAGAGTGACACAGAAGCTGATATAGAAAGTGAACCAGTGGTAGAAAGCACAGAAACTGAGGGGACATAATCATCACTCAGTAGGTAAAAGATACCTTTTGTAAAGTTGTCATCTCTCTGTAATAGATAAATGGCTGACTGGACCGTTAGCAGTTCACTTTTGTCTGCCAGAATTAAGTTAATCTGATGTTCATGTTCATCTTTCACTTAAATAACTGTACAACTGACTTGTATAGAACACTGTTCTTAATTTGGACATGGTAGGTAAACTTTTTTTTTATTTCTCTGGTAAAGCATAAACTTGCCCCCACTTGCTTTTAATTTCACAAAGATAAAATAACAGCTTGTCAAACAAAGACTTCCTATGGAAGAAAATGGAATTTTTTTAGATACTACCCTTAGGCTGGCTATCGAAATTGTTATACTTGAAAACAGGTGCTGGTGTATCTTGTCCGTGTTTTTAGGCTGCTGCAGAATTTTAAAGTATAGACAAAGCTGTGATATCTTATGTTCCTATAATTCGGCAGAAAAAGAAATGGCCCATGTTATTTAAGGAGCATAACACAGAGATTAAAAGTGATTTTGTAAAATCTACACTATAGTCTCTGTTTTCTCTAAAGTAAGTGTTTGTGATTTGTTCCTCGTACTGCAGTGGGTTTAAAAAAAATGAAAAAGTACATTTTAATGTTGGGTGCATTTTGTTTTTAGATGCCAATAAAGCATATTTGTTTGATAACAGTGTTCTAGGTATTGTATTTTTTTAAAAACCTGCAAGCTCTAAAACTTGGAATCAGCTATGATATGTGCTTAGCTAGTTGTTGCAAAAGTTTTATATTACTTTTGTAAGACCAATGCAACAGTTATATGTGCAAGAAGCATATGGTTTTTGCATCGAAAATCATGCAGTCATATTAGTTTATGTAAATAACATGTCTGTAAATATTTGTGTAAACTGTTTGTAGATACCACTTTTTCTGTGCGTGCCTGTGTATGTGCATACACTCACAGAATATTGTAGACAGTTCAATAAAATTGAAATGAAACTAGGTTGTAAAAATTTGCCTTTCACCTTCTTTAGGTAGTAAGATAACAAAGCTTATTTCACTGCAATACTGTCAAGCTTATATTTACCTTCTCATGCTCATTGTTACGCTGTTCTTACTACTTCTAGAAGGTGGAACATGATATACTGTAAGAATATACAGTAGGATTTTAGCTTACTTTTTAAAATGCAGATATGCATGAAGCCAAAACTTAAGCAAATATTTGCATTGTCTTATTTTGTAATATATTTGGTATTCTGGATAGATAGCGGTAGTGTTCAAGTACTTTGTGGTTATTTGTTTTTAGTGACTCAAAAGTCCAGAAATGTTGCACGAAAAGTAAAAAGCTGTTGTTGGTCTAAAAAAACCTACATGTTTCTAACAGAAATAAGAGGAGCTTGGTGTTTTGATGGCTTAATATTGAAGTAGAACCTCTTGTTAAATTGTTGAGATGAATTGGCTGCTTAGGTAAATTAGTAGCTCTATTCTTTCCTGTTTCACCTACTTTGCTGCTTGTGTATCCTTTAAATTGGTGGTGAAAGATTTGGCTCTACGGTAATGTCAGATTTTCAATTTGTTCCACTCAAGTGCATTTCACCAACTTCTTTCAACATAACTTTTGTTAAAATTCTGTGTCTGAAAGCATCCTTTCACTCAGTTTTGAGAAAGTTGTTTTTTCTCTTGCATAGTAGGATCCAAGGGTAGCTTCTGTTACATGAATGCGCCTTTGGTAGAAGAAACATCTTTAGCTCAGATTAGAATTTTGATCTTTAACATTAAAGTGTTAACATGCAAGTTCGAATTCCCCTTCTGCTGCCCCCAAAGGGATGAAAGTATGAGAATGTCACGTGAGTGTAAAGCATAAGCATGCCTTTGAACGTAGAAGCAAGTTACGCATGTGTGTGTTGCCCTCTCCCTCTGGGAGGTGGGGTATTTTTTCATGCTGCATCATGGTTCAGTTTTTCAATTACAGGAACTTTTACTCTGGATAGTAAACAAACTGTCAGCTTAATGAAGGTAGCCCTTTGAAAGAGTGGACTTGAATGAATGATTCTTTATCTACTGTGCAAGTAGCAGTCATTAGGATGTAGTGAGGTATGAATTAAATAACTATTGCTTTGTAATAGACCTTGCTGATGTGTTTATTACCAGAACGTGTCTCGGGAGTTGAGATGAACAATGTTTAAGGTAAAAGTACCTTTATGGGCAGACTCTGACTCAAAGAACTTGACTGATGCTGCTGCACCACCTACTAGTAGTATTCTGGTCAGGCAGATATGGTTGTGTGAAAGTGCAAATGCACAAAATAGCTATAAGGATACTATATGAACTTAAGGGATTTTCTTTATTTCATTTTAATATGTGCAGTTTGAAAAGGCTGCAGTCATAGACCACATAAATACTCAGAATCAAACACATATTGGCAGTAGCTTTACTTTTCAAACATTTTGTTAAATGCCTCTTTAAAACGGAAAGTTAATCTGTTTTTCTAAACTGGGACTGGCAGTATGCTGAATTGCTCATAGTATGATGGTTTAGGTAAATTACCAGGTGAGAGGATGTTAAACAATTTGGTTGGTAGTGGTATAAAACAATGTATCGTTTAATGATTTTTCATCTTTGTTAATATCTTTCAAGCATTAATAAATTGGCTACTGTACATATGTGTTATACCATCAATTTCTAACAACTATTTTATTTTTTTGTAGAATAAAAGTTTGTTGTACAGTTGTCAGTTGCATCATGTTTACAGCTAGAATTGTTCCATTTTTTATTTTATTAATGTAGCATGCAGACAAATATTACCAAAATAGTCGTATGCAGAAACTCAGAAGGGATTTAATATTACCAAAATAGTATGGTTTCTTTATCTTGCCAGTAGGAATTTTTAAATCATTCAGAGTTTGAGTGAAGACTTTCCTTTCTCAGGGTAGATTAAGCCGTCGTAAGCCAACATGTGCACTGAAAGGAGCTGTCCTGAGATCCAGACCAGTTCTTTGATGTGGTTCGTGGTAGTGACATGTAATTTTTGCTGATGCAAAGGGAAGAGTGAGAATGGGACAGAAAGAAGATGGGGGCCAGGCATTTGGGCAGTTCTGGCTTATGCTTGTTTAAAGCTTGCTGTAGTGATGAAAGGTGTTGATTCTAGCAACTGAAGAAGCTGATCTACTATTTACATAAGTAACATACATATTGAAAAATATTTCAGGTAGCTTTGCAGGCAACACTATGTATCTAGGCATGCGCATTTACTTGAAATCCTTATGCATTAGTAAGTTGTTTGACGTATTTATTATGTTTTTAAGCAGCCTTATGATCTTTCACTGTACTGTATTTGAGCAGAATGCTACATCCATAAGGATTACAAAGATGAAACATAGCCTTCATTTGCTACAAGGACATGATTTCTTTGCTGAAGCCTTTTTCTGTGAAATATTGGTACACTTTCATTTTTATATGTAGTGCTTCACGTTGTTATTACAAACTCAAGGGAATAGTTTCTGTTAGATTCCTTTGCTTCAGTAGAGTACTATAGCATTCTTCAAGCCATTTCAGTAATTTAAATGGCTTTATTTATGAAGTTAAGGTACTCTTACTCGGAATAAGGCAAGACAGAAATACTGTAATCAAGCCTGTAGTATGGCATGCACAGGTATTACTTAAGCACAGTTGGAAAATGTTAAAATATAAACTGTCTATAGAAGGTATTTATAAAATAAGCCAATTTATTGCAGAATTCTCTCAAAATACAGTGGCAGCAGTTTTGAACACGTGCAAGGATACATTATGCCGGTCAACACTTAAAGTATTCACTTTCTTAATTCATGTTCCCCTAAATCAAATCTTTGGGTCATTTGATTTGAAACTGGTAAAAATGGATCCCAAATTTCATTCTTTGTATTTTCAGTAATGTATTTAAAAATAACATAATAATAAGGGTGACTTCTTTTGTCTCTTGATAATGGGAGCTGAACAGATATAATTTCAAAACCTATTCAGAGTATCAGGAGTCATCAAGAGTAAATAGCACCATTTTTTATAATTGTTAATTCAGGTGATGAAAGGATCTTTCCTTCCCTGTCAACCTATCACTGATTCTTTGAATTTTAGAGTAGTCACATTTTCTTTTCAAGTGCTGAGCTTTCACAAGTAAGCATGTACTGTGAAGCCATCTGCCTGTGTAGATGAGAGATTGATTCAAAAGGTATAAAGGCAGGATATTCTTTTTTAATTTGAAGCTGTTTATTTGAACAAGAATGGCAAAAGCATCTTTCCGCCATGTCACTTTACTATATTCATTCGCATCAGTGGCAAAGAGAATATCGTATTGCAAGACTTTCTTAGTTGTAGCTAATCTTATGTTTCTCCTTGAAGGGCTGTCTTAGTGATGTTATTCACTCCACTTAGTCTGTACAAGTTCTCTGCATACTCAAACATTTTGAATTTTATTAATAAATGTACATGATATTTCATAGTCAAGTCAAGTAGAGCTACCAAAAAGAAAATGCATAACATCTCTTTAAGAGTAATGACTTCCAGCAGAGGTGTATAGGATCTGAAAAGTGATTCTTGTCAGTGATGGGATGGTATGAAAGTCTGTTAATAGGGTTTTTGTTGAAGTTGGTAAACTGTAAAATTGTATTTGCCATAATTCTTGTATTCCTTTCTGTCTTGCACAAACTTGAAAATGGGTAGTCTCATTGAATATCCTACTCTTAGTATTTTTTAGATGCTCTGCTACCACAGATTAGAGGAGTGGAAGGACTAGTGGTCTGTGCACTCTTAAAAATCAAGAGGTTGTTAAGATATGTTGTGCAGCTGAAGATGAATGTAATTTCTCTTTTTAAGAAGTTCAAAATGGACATTTCAGCACTTGCATAGTAACAGTGGTATTAGTGGTGTCACTGGTTTACGTATCTTATTCTGTGCTTTGTAATTTTTCTTGTAAAGTTAACTCACTAATGCTAATTTTAAATTTTCTCTTGTTCTATCAGATGAAATCATACTATTGCCCTCATAAAAAGGGACTATTTTGTGCTTTAAAAAAAAAAAAAGTCTGGTCAGAGAGTATTTTAACCTGTAGGTAGGTTAGTCGAAAATTTTTTCGTTCCTGATTTAATGCTTTAATGCTGCAGTTTTCCTCTTGAATGATTTTCTGTATGCATATCTGTGTTATAACGGATATGTGTTCACATTAACACCTCTCAGGCTTTCTGTTGACATGCAGAAAAATTGTGAGATTCTTTAAGGCGGATGACTTGATGTGTTTCTAAAACTAGGGTAAACTTCACAGCCATGTTTGTATACTGGAGCATTATAATTGTGTTGAAGCATTATAACTGTGTGCAAGCCAGTGCAAAAAATCCTTAATAGGTGAAGAGTATTAAATGGATATAGAATTGTTAACTCAGATGTAGATTGGTGGGATTCACACAGGCCATAGATTCTGGCACTTTGGATCTGAATGTCACTTCCACACTAAAGGAGAGATCATATTATAGTTACATCTGGGGAAATAAGAAATGTAGCTTTTTCTTGATAACAACAGGAATTAAGCAGAAATAATCTTAGTGTTTAAAGTCCTTTCTAAAAATCCATCCGCCTTTGTCTATTCAAAGGAAGCTCTATCATTGTCACTGTAGTTGATCAAGGGAAAAAATTAGTTTAGACCTTTTCTGAGGTAATCAGATCTCATTCAGCAGTGCAGTAAAATGCAGTTTTAAGTGTGCCTTAAGTTTTTCCCTCTGGAAAGGAGCATATCCAACTTTAGACAAAAATGTGGACAAAATCAGTACATTTTTGTCTGTAAATTTCTAAATGTAATTTTAGGTTCAGTGATATTCTTCAAGAAAATCTCTGTCATTTCAGTAGTGTAAATACATAAATAATAAATGGACACTCAACTTTAAAAATGTTTACTGAAAGTTATACTAGTCT